AATCTCAACACAAGGTCCCCCCCCATCCAATTTGAAACCGTACTAGACTGTGCTTAGCTTTGCAAACGTGATAGCAGTTTTACTGCTGCACCGCTAGGACTGTAATGGCTACGAGCCATGATGGTTGAATTCTGCCTCCACCACTGCTAACAATATGCATCAGAATATCAGTTGCAGGGAGCTGAAATTGGGGGAGAGGGCTGTTGCTCGGATGACGACGACGACGACAATTTGTTACTTGTATCTAGACGATCTCACTGGGTTTCCCTAGCCTTTCTGGGCGGCTTCCAAGAGGATAAAAGAACGCACGATACATCAGACATTAAACACTTCCCTAAAGAGGGCTGCCTTCAGATGTCTTCTAAACCTCAGCTATAATAATAAATAATAATAATTTATTATTTGTACCCTGCCCATCTGGCTGTGTTTCCCCAGCCACTCTGGGCGGCTTCCAACAAAGATTAAAAATACATTAAACTGTCACACATTAAAAACTTCCCTGTTGTTTATTTCCTTAACATCTGATGGGAGGGCATTCCACAGAGAGGGCGCCGCCACTGAGAAGGCCCTCTGCCTGGTTCCCTGTATCTTCACTTCTCGCAGTAAGGGAACTGCCAGAAGGCACTCGGCGCTGGACCTCAGGGTCCGGGCTGAACGGTGGGGGTGGAGACGCTCCTTCAGGTATACTGGGCCGAGGCCGTTTAAGGCTTGAAAGGCCAGCACCAACACTTTGAATTGTGCTCAGAAACGTACTGGGAGCCAATGTAAGTCTTTCAGAACTGGTGTTATATGGTCTCGGCGGCCGCCCCCGGTCACCAGTCTAGCTGCCGCATTCTGGATTAGTCTGAAAGGTAGCCCCATGTAGAGCACATTGCAGTAGTCTAAGCGGGAGATAACTACAGAGCATGTACCACTCAGGGCAAATCAGTGTGCTGAGCTAAATGGAATACTGGCCGGATCCAGCCAAAGCTCCTCGGATGCTCTTATACCAGGGAGAAGTCCTGTGCCAAATCTGGAAGCTGCCTTGCAGAGTGTGAGAGCACCTAGCTTAGTGCAGTTTACTTTGCCTGGTAGAATCTCTCCAGGGTTTCAGACGAGCAACATACCCAACTCTTCCAAGCTACAGACCTTCCCTTAATCAAATATGCCTCCACTGTGGGCTAGATGGGTTCTTGGCTGCTCAGCTCGGCTCCTTTGTCTCAAAAGATCCTAAGCAGGGAAGACCAAGCGGGTGGGGAGAGCAAATGCCGCCTGGATAATCCTGACACCACGTGGACGCTGTGTTATTTCTGTTCCTGCTCCTATACTCGAATGCGTTTGCTACCGTGCAAGTATTTTGTAAGCCGCTTTGAGAGTCTCTTGGGGCTACTCAGCAGGAAATCAGTTGTTCAAAACAACCAAAAACCCAACGTCCGCCCAAGTAACGAGAGACAAGCAGGGACAAGGGTTGGGGATGGCGGGAGGTGAAGCCCAACCTTTGGAGAACCAGTTTCCTCTCTGCTATCCTGTATGGCTCTTCTCCGTCCCTCAAATTTCAGCCGCTTGTTCCTCTAGGGCAAGACCTGGCTGTCGGCAAGGTTACCTTGCAAAGCTGTCGGTGGGCAGGTGCTGTGCCAAAGGCAAGATCACCTGTGCAAGGAGGCAGCTCTGAACCAGGCATGCCAGTGGTGGCTCAAACCTGCTTTATTTACATTCTCTCTCCCCTCTGTGGAATATGCAGGGAGAACAATGGCTGACTTTACAGCGTTATTGTCAAGTTTTAAGCAAGGAACACCTTTCCATACTATGAAACTATCCAAGTAGCCTCTTGGTGCCTGTCATCAGGAGACAGCAAACACTCCCACTTTCTGTAGAGGGAAAGATCCTACTTTTTATTGCACCTTTGCCACTGCCTCAAAGCCAATAAATCTGGTGCCAGCTCTCAGCAGGGAAGTCTCATCCATCATGTTTTCATTCAAGACTACAATTCCTAAACTGTATGGCCTGAGGCTACCGTGAACCAAAAAAATCATGAAATCTTTCTGCTGCAGCTCTGAATGATGCCCTGTTCTGATGCCTCCTTCCCAACACCCTCCACTAGGAAGCACCTTCTGCTGTATGCCTGCACCTGGTGTAACTGGAATCCGTCTATTCATAATTCTCTTCTCCTCCAGAATAGGCATTCAGGCAGAGACACAGTACTTTCACACAGCACATGGTTAAAACAGTGGACATTGCAGTGGCAATGGAGAATGAAGCTATCAATGGCTATCAACTCTGGTGGTTATGTCCTACTTGAATACAGTCATACCTCATGTTAGGTTTGCTTCATGTTATGTTTTTTCAGGTTGCGTCCCGCGGTGACCCGGAAGTACCGGAAAGGGTTACTTCCGGATTTCTCCGCTTGCGCACGCGCACAAAATGACGTCACGCACACGCGCAGAAGCAGTGAATCACAACCTGTACGTGCACAGATGCGCCGCTGCGGGTTGTATTCCTTTCATGTTGGGAACGGGCTTCCGGAACGGATCCCGGATAGGTTTGTTCTTCTTGCAGTCCATGGGACTCTCAAGAGTCTCCTCCAGCACCATAATTCAAAAGCACCAATTCTTCGGCGATCAGCCTTCTTTATGGTCCAGCTCTCATTTCCATACATCACTACTGGGAAAACCATAGCTTTTACTATACGGACCTTTGTCAGCAAGGTGATGTCTCTACTTTTTAAGTTGCTGTCTAGGTTTGTCCTTGCTTTTCTCCCAAGAAGCAGGCGTCTTTTAATTTCGTGACTGCTGTCACCATCTGCAGTGATCATGGAGCCCAAGAAAGTAAAATCTTTCACTGCCTCCATTTCTTCCCCTTCTATTTTTGCAACCAGAGGTACCACTGTATCAGATACTGAAAACCACAGAGGAGTCCTGTTAAACTCAGGTCACACTTTCAGGCTCCCCACCCCATAAGCTTCAAGCTGGCCACTGTGAGAAAAGAATGTTGGACAAGAGCAGAGCATGAGACTCATAATCTAAATGTCATGGGTCTGAGTCGCACGCTGGGCAGATTCCGGCATTGCAGGGGGTTGGATTTGTGCTCTATGGTGGGTCAATGGTCTGATCTGTTTTCCTGTAAATCGGTCTGAACTTTATATGCTTGAGATCAGTTTGCTTTTCATGTTGGCTGAGTGAAGTGCAGCTTCCGTTTCACTTCAAGGGGGGAAAGGTGCGCTTCACCTCACAGGAAGACTGGCCTTTCACAACAAACGAGAATCTCACATGCGCAGTGGAAGAGAATAGTACAGCAGTGAGCTGTGCTACTCATCATCCCTTCCCCCATTTTGGCCTTTTCCACTTTGCCATCCTGGTAACCTGTGCAAGACACGGCACACGGCGCTGAGGAGCTGGAACCGGCAGCTAACAGGAATAGCAGGTGTGTGGGCACAGGTGATCACTGTAGGGCAGTAGGTCACAGGCGGTGTGCAATGGCATTAGTGCCAAACTAGGTCACAGGTGCACTCGGAAAAGGGAGCGAGAGGGGGAAAGCAACATTGCCTTTAGTTAAAAGGGAGAGGAGATGCGAGGCCTGGAAGAAAGGGTCGTGGGAAGAGAGAGAGAGGCGATTGGGCCAAGTGGAGGCAAAAAGGAGCCAGATGTTGTTCAGACAGGCGCATGAAATGCTCTCTCACACATACAAAAAAGCCAGACCCCCACGGCGACAGCCGGTTTAGACAACCAAGGTGCACTCCAAGCGACCACTGCCGGCAGCTGGCAAGGAACCGGACAGGCTGCTACCTTCCCCAAAGGCACACAGGTGACCCATATTTCTGCAACATCGATACAGATTGGCGTCAAATCGCTCAGGAGAGAGGAAGCGGCCTCGGGGGACTCTCTCCCACCTGCAAGCTGCCGGCACCCTGGCAGCAGGTGGGGAAGAGGGATCAACGAAGGATGCAGAGGGTGGAGGAGAGCTCCGGAGGTAATGAAAGCCCAGCCAGACAAATCCCCGAGAGCTTCTTCTCCTAGGAAGTGGGGGTGTTTTTAATCTTCTTTCCTCCAGGCCGGAGGGGATGCAGGGGCCGACAGTTTTAGCGTTTGAAAAGGATGCCGCCGGAATAAAGTTAAGGAGGAACCGGTGACAGGACACCGCACAGCAGGAGATATTTAGGGGTTTCAGCGTCAAGATAAAACTCCCAAAACAAGGTTGGTGGTGGTGAAGAGGCTCAAAAGGCAGCTGGTTGAGATGAGGCCCCCCGCCACTGGTACCCATCACTGGTAGCAGCGGAGGGTGGAGCCAGCTCCTCGTTTCCTATTGGCCGAGTGTAGCTGCAGAGATTTCAAAGCTTAGTTGGCCACCTCAAGCAGGGACAGAGATCTGACGGACAGAGGTAGAGATGGACGTGCCCACTGCCGCTTCCCAGTTCTAAATTCAAAGGGCGATACCCAAAAATAGGGATACTCAGAGCGGGCACACTGAGTATCACCAGGCTTAAATAACTTACTGATTTCAATGGGTCTGCTCAGCAAACATGACTCAAATAAGCCCACAAAGGACTTTGTGCAGCTGCTGAAGTTTGTATTTATAGACTGCTTCAATCACCTGTGTTTCTGAAGCTTGGCAGCCACTGAGGGGTCCCTGCTGTGCGCAGTGCTTTGTGAAAACTTCAGATACCAGGGAAAAGGGGGCAACAGCTGGGTAGGACTTGCGGTGCGAGTGGCAAGTGTCCACTCGCCTCCTCTTGGAAAACTGGGCCAAAAGCAGGCCCAAGTTGCACAGAGTCATCACGTGGCTGTTGGAAGCGCCTGATGAAAATGGGATGGAGGAAAACTTTTTGCAGGGCAAAGTTTCCCTTTTCCATTTTTTTTAAGAGCAGAAACCGTACAGACGTAGGAAGGTTTGCCTGTTTGTGAACCAGTAATGGACTTAAGGTGACTGATTGGGCCCCTCCCCACCTCAAGAAGGGTGACATCCTGTGTCTGCACACTCAAGACAAATGGGGTGAGCGAGGAGAGGAGAGAAAGAGAGAGAATAGGTACAATCTGAGTGCGGTTTATGGAATTTTAATGAAAGATTGGGGAAACGGCGAGTTGCTGGGATGCTCTGGCGTAATCCGTGTTCTATAACCTGCAGAATGGGGAGGGAGAGAAGAGAGAACAGTAATGAATTAAGGGGAGTCAGAAGCAACACCAGGAGTGGATGACTGGATCTCTCTCAAAAGAAGAGGCAAACAGCGTAAGCTTGGGAGGCAGAGAGGGAGCTGGGAGATGCTAAAACCAGCTGAACTGGGTCTGAGAGAAAGGCCAGAAGACAAGAACCAAGCAAAGATAATGAATTGATTTTAGAATGCTGTATTATTTTACTGTTGTTAGCCACTCTGAGCCCGGCTTTGGAGGGCGGGCTAGAAATAAAATGTTATTATTATATTATTAAGATGAGACTTGCTTTGGGCTGTGTACACACCATGCACTTGAAGCACATACTTTCCCTGGCCCAAAATTATGGGAACTGTAGTTTGTCCGCACAGAGCTACAATTCCCAGCACCTGTAGCAGACCACAGTTCCCAGGATTCCAGGGGGGTGGCACACATAATAGCAGTGAGGGGAAGATCAGCTTGGCCCTAACCACAGACCACCGGAAGCATTGTGCACCCTGCCTCCTGGAAAGGACTCCACTGTCAATTGCCCCGTGGCTTCAGAGGCTAAGGAAAGGGTTTCATATGCTAGCCAGAGATCTAAGGGCATCTAGGAGATGGAGCCCCTGCCCCACTCCCAGAAGAACAGCCTGATCCCCCAAATAGACTCAAATGCCTGTTAAGGATTCCTTGCATCTTCATCCTGGCACCCTCAGGCCTCCTCTCCCATGGCTAGCAGACTCTAAACCTGAGACAGGCCACAGTATGAGGCAGCAAGGAGGTGGCGGCAGCAGAATGGACCGAACCACCCCACAACTAGAGGTGGGGGTGCCACTCACGAGCATCCCCATATGGAAATGACTCCACGCAAAGAGAAAGCTAGCACACAAGGGCACATCTCCCTCTTATGTGCCAACTGCTTTGCTTAATACTGCAAGGAGTCCCCGCTCCCATCTTTTAAAAAAATGCGGCCCCTGCTTTGGCTGTCTTGCCCCAGTTGGCAAAGGTATTTTCTTCTTGCTGTTATTATTCTGGCAGGCTTTCACCTTGGCCAGTAGATGTTTTTATCTGAAGATGGCGTTTCTGTTTGCTATGCCTGTCTGGGCTGTGCGATGCTGCTGCTGCTGCTGCTGCGATTTTAGCTGTTGTCAACCTGTGTAACGATGCATCTGAGCCGGGCAGGCTGCGCATTTCTCTATAAGTAAGTAATATATAAAAGGACAGTGGAGCAAGATTAGAGGGGCAGGGGGCAAGAGCGACTGGTTAGCCTGCCACTATTGGGCAAAGCGCTGCCACCACTTACGTGATCTCCCGGAAGGCGCGCTTTTCGACGTACTTCACCCGGTATTTCCTCTTGAACCTGACAAGGAAGACACAAGAGGTTTAGGGACTTTACAGTCCTCAATGAGAGGAACTACTAAATACACAAGCCCAGAGCCAAGCACAGCAACCTGGAAGGCAAGCCGCCATGGCTGCAGAGACATCTCCTCTCCAAAGGCCACACACCACCTCCCTTGAAAGGTGTCTCTCCCTCCCTCCCACACCAAGGCTTAGAGATTACGTTTCCCCCCAAAGTCCTCAGGAGAGCTGTGACTATTGCACTTTGTGACTCACCGCTTAAAGATGTGAAGCAACACCTTCAAACAACAACACGGTGTTTTGAGCTGCTGTGAAGTGGAATCAAAGGCTCTCTGATTTGCCACTTCATGCACAGAAATCCAAGTGCTGGACACACATTTGCGAACCGGCCAAAAGGGTCTACACATCAGCCTCACCCGCCCTCTCCGCAAGTGGTTGCCTTTCAATGTTTTGGATTACAACCCCCCACATCAGCCGCGAGCCAAGCTGGTGGACATGGAGTTGGAAAAGGCCATTCTACATCCACACAGAACTCCCAGGGTTTTCACAACGACTTAATGGCCCTGAGACCTCCGGGTATAAAAAGGTAAAGGGACCCTCTCTCACCACCAAAGGAACACAAGTGAACAACACAAGCAACGCTGACACCAAACTCTACATACATTAAACATAACAGAAACACCGCCACCCGACCCCACCCCCATCCATCTTCCCACTCTCCACCCCCGTTGTTTTTTCTTTTTTTTGGTGTCCCCCGAATGCCTCAACAAATGAAACGGATTTGTAAAAATGTTACATGAAAAAAAAAATACGAGGCACTACACTTCTGTAAAACAAGAAAATCCTTAATAAAATATATATATATATTTTATTAAAAAGGTAAAGGGACCCCTGACCGTTAGGTCCAGTCGTGACCGACTCTGGGGTTGCGGCGCTCATCTCGCTTTATTGGCCGAGGGAGCTGGCGTACAGTTTCCGGGTCATGTGGCCAGCATGACTAAGCCGCTTCTGGCGAACCAGAGCAGCGCACGGAAACGCAGTTTACCTTCCCGCCGGAGTGGTGCCTATTTATGTACTTGCACTTTGACGTGCTTTCGAACTGCTAGGTTGGCAGGAGCAGGGACTGAGCAACGGGAGCTCACCCCGTCGCGGGGATTCGAACCGCCGACCTTCTGAACAGCAAGTCCTAGGCTCTGCGGTTTAACCCACAACGCCACTCGTGTCCCACCAGGTATAGGGCGGTGTATAAATTGAATGAATGAATAAGAAAGAATCTTTGCTGGTGGTGGGGGGCACAGTTCTATGGAGGAAGAGAGACAGACACCAGCATTATCCTGCTGCTGCTTATATTGTATGAATGAGAGGAGCAAGAGGAGAACCTCCGACCTTGCCGATTTTCTCAATTTACTGAAATCTCAGCTTCCTCTCTGGAACGTGCAAATCTTATCAGAGGTTTAAGCAAGTGTGGATAATCCCACGATATCCCATAGTTTAAAGAGGCCACAGCCGGCAACAGGTGTAGGGAGTTACCCACCCCCTGGGGGTAATTTACTGCATTAATACCTGAATCTGGGCGCGCCACTGTGGCATCAGAGAACTGCTAAACCGCTTGGAGGAAGTAACAAGAGACTCAGGATTACAGAGTGGGAAGGTCATCTCGTTCCCTCCCCTCCAGCTCCATGCTGGATGTGCAATGCAGGATGCGACCACAGCATCCCTGGACCGATGGCTGCCCAGAAAGTGTTTCCAGTGAAAGACTCCCTGCGGCCTAAAGAACCAACCAGAGGAGGCTGACCCCCATCTCTCTGCAGGAGTTGCTGACTCTGGCTTGCCTTCTTCCAGTCAGAGACTAGTTAAGAAACATAAATCAAGTGGGCTCCTTGTTGAAGTCACCCCTGCCAACGCTGCCTTCTCACTCACTTTGCACGTTCTCTGGGCTCTAGGAGGTTGCGTTTTTGTAGGCTCTTGAACCGGTCCTTCAGGATACTGCCTTCGGGCTGGAGGAAGAAGCAGAAACAGAACTCGTGACAGATCTGGGTTCATGTTAAGCACAAAGAGACCTGTGGTATCCCGATAGTCTGGGGCTTGTGGCAGGAGAGCCTTCCTAGCCAAGTATCCATTTATGTGCCATGCAGTCTTGATCAGGCTACTCTTGGGGAAAATTCAGCTAACACCTGGATTCACCGGTTCTCAAGGCACAACATCCAGGTTGTCAGAGAAAGGGGAGATGGCGAAGAGAAGTAACGGTGCCTGATGCCCTCACACGCTGAACCAAAGGCAAATTGTTCCGGAAGCTCTGCAAGCACCATCTTGGTAGTCAAGAGAACCCCACAATGAATTGGTAGTTGTTGCAGCAACGAGCTCATATATGTTTATATTCACTTGCTCTGATGCTATCCTTATCTATGGGCTTGGGGTGCTGGGCTCTGAGACCAGAAAGGGGTAATGCTGGGTATTTGCTACCTATGCAGTCATCTGGGCAGGTGAAGCGATGGGAGGTCCGGGCCAGAGTGATGTTTGCTGCTTTGTGTATAAAGAATGTGTAACTGTTTGCTTCAGGAACGGACAAACCGTCTCCCTGCTATGGTATCTGTCCTGCTTTTGCAAAGGCTAGGAGAACTGGCAAGCCGATTTCCTCTAAGTCTGCACCTTTCTTTAATAAAGCACTAGAACAGATCACTCGTGTTTTTGACGTCCTTGGTATCCCTGTGCCCAACCATTCACACAAGCCCCGCTTTGGGCCTGCGGTTCAGAACACCTCTTTCCCCCAAAATCTACTGCCAATGTCAAAACCGTGAAGGTTTGTTTGCCTTGAACAAAATACCCCACCTTCTCTTACACACAACCCAAAATTAAACACACAGTTGGGGATTAAAAAAACCCGAATCCACAAACATTCAAGTTTGCCCGTAACAGTTAAACACAGAGACTGGTTCTGGGGAGGTATCTGTGGCTCTACAGATGTTCTTGGGCTCAAACTCCCATCTTCCCCAGCCCTGATTGCTGGGGCCGAGAGTTGGCCCTGGTGTATTATCCAGAGAGCCAGAGATTCCCCACGCCAGGTCTCCTGGAAATCATAACCGTTTCCCACAGTACAGTCGGCTAGAGAGTTTCCCTTTTGCACCAGAAAGTTGGAAAGTCTCAGCAGTGTTCCTTACAGTGGGGGGGGGGGGGGAGAAACAGCTGTACGAAGCCCTCCCCTCTTTGCACCAACACCTCCAGCAGAGACACTGCAGGTGTCGGGAGCGCGACTCTTCGCACAACATCAACTCCTCACGTACACTCATTAGGTGCCTTCCTGCTCCCTGGGATGGAGGTGTTTTGCATGAGCTCTGGGAGTTTTGCCTGTGAGGGGGGAGGTGTGAGGAGCTGGGAGGGAACAGAGCATTTGGTGGTGGCGGCGGGGGGGGGGGGGAGCCACCTACAAAGCCTTCTCAGCCTCAAAGCTCATTGGCTGGCGCTGGAGAAGCTGCAATCCCAAACTAGCTCACCAATCGCAGGGACGCTGACACTGTGAAATAGGGGTATGTGGACAAGCCCTCTGATGGGGTTGCTCCCCACGACTAAGAGGCAACAAAGGCAAGGCAAATGCCAAAGGAAGTTAATTCTTCACACCACAGACCTCTGGAACACCCTGCTACCGTGCATGGCAATAGGTGGCTACTTCAGCCGATCAGGTTTTTTCAAGAGAAAGGGGAGTCAACACACAGGCAGAACAGGCCTCTCACTCGGGCTACTGGCCACAGAATCCAGAAGCTCAGCCTCTCCACTGACATGAAATCCCTCTGTGGCATCTCAGATAGTCAAATGCAGAAAGACCCATCTCTCATGTTAATTTTGATGCTGAAGAACACCCTGGGATGTCTACGCAGCACCTCCTCCCTCCATGGTGTCAGCTGATGCAGGAAGGCGAAGGTCACACCCAACAGGAAGAGGAAGTCAGCACTGTCCAGAGCTGGTGTCCCCTTAGTGGGCTCTGCTGGCCACTGGGGGGGGGGGCTAAGGGGCAAGGGGGGCAGTGGCAGGAGGTGTAAGTGACTTTGAAAAAAATGGCACCACAGGGTCAAGCTCAGCAGTTTTGCAGAAATAATTAAACTAAATAGTTCTAACTGGATTTTGAATAAATGCGCAATTAATTGATACTGTTTTGAATATTATTCTTTTGTTCGAGCAGAGGTTTCAGGGGTCAACAAACCTTTTCAGCAGGGGGGGCCGGTCCACTGTCTCTCAGACCTTTGGGGAGGGGGGGCTGGACTATATTTTGAAAAAAAATAAAAATGAACAAATTTCTATGCCCCACAAATAGCCCAGAGATGCATTTTAAATAAATGCACACATTCTATTCATGTAAAAACATGCTGATTCCTGGACCATCTGTGGGCCGGATTTAGTAGGCGATTGGGCCGCATCCGGCCCCAGGGCCTTAGTTTGCCTGCCCATGTAAGATGGCCACCTGTCATGTATGACTTAGTTGAGACCCCTGCATTGCAGGGGATTGGACTGGATGACCTTTGGGGTCCCTTTCCAACTCGACAATTCCATGCCTGTAATTCCTTAGTAGGCTGCGCAAACCGCTATGCTGCAAAAATGCCTTTTTTATAGGAGCCACTGGGGATGTGGCCCAAAAAATGTTTGGGGAACCACTGGTCCAAATTGTGCAGAGGGGAGATGAGTTTGAGAGCTCAACATACTGGGATGAATTTGTGGGTCTCCCTGACCCAAGCTGGTCCAGAGAGGGGGCACAAACGCTGGCAGTAAGCAACTCTGAGAAGACACCTTTAGAGAGGCTGTTTTCTAAGTCTGTTGGTCGTTCAGTACCCAGAAATGGCAGAACTGTTCCAAATTGGGAAGGGGGTGGGGATAAGAGAAAGAAGAAAGGAGAGTCTTCCTTGGGTGCCTCAGCTCCCCAGTCCTCACCTGCTCGGCAGGGCCAGGGAGCCCCTGGGGAACTTCACATTCCCAGCAAGCAATTGCTGCAAATTCTCCGAGCGCAAGGATGGGTCTCATCATCGGACACCAAGGGAAGGAAGAAGGCAGGCATGGGCGGGCAGGTGGGGGGCACAGCGCAGAGGCCCCTGGAGAGGAACGGACCACCCCTCAACTCCAAAGGGGCTCTCTTAACTCCGCTCAGCAGCCCCTCCAAATGCCAGCAAGGCTGGCCTGCCCATCTTCGGAGTGGGCGGCCGAATTAGAAAGCTGCGTTCTGAAAAGGGCTGGCTTGAAAGCGGGCAGCGAGGGTTGTGCCAACCCCAAGAAGGCGGCACAGAGAGAACAAAGAGGTGGCAGAGAAATGGGGGGGGGAGCAACGGGACCAAGGGAACGCTTGATGGGGAAGCTGAATCCAGCCTCTTGCCCGCCCTGCAAATGCTCACCTTCAGCGTCCTCAAGGACTCTGCCAGCTCAGTGCTCAGCTGCACGTCCAGGTCAGGATCTTCATACCTGCCACGCAAGAGGGGGAAACAATAGGGGGCTGCTGAGAAGCGGTGTTCAAAATTCACCAGGCACATTCTGCACCTGGCTACTGGCTGCTTGCGACTGAGAGAAGATGCCCGTTTTCACACACTAATACCCCTTCATGTCGAATTCTATCCGTTATAATTTATCTGCACACTCAGGATGAATTTCAGGGTACGAAAACACTTTTTCTGAGCAGGGGCAGTTGCCGTACAGAAAGAGAGGTCGGAATGGGCCAATATACAGTGGTACCTCAGGTTACAGATGCTTCAGGTTACAGACTCCGCTAACCCAGAAATAGTACCTCGGGGTTAAGAACTTTGCTTCAGGATGACAACAGAAATCACACAGTGGCAGCGAAGGCCCCATTAGCTAAATTGGTACCTTAGGTTAAGAACGGACCTCCAGAACGAATTAAGTTCTTAACCAGATGTACCACTGTATAAGTGGACCGTCCCTGAGTCAAGTGACTTTTCTCCTTTAAAGTTCTCAAAGCTCTCCACCGAGCTCAAGGTGGTCCTCTGAACTAGCCAAATGTTTAACCGAGAATCGAACACAGTCAGCCCACCCTTTGAAAAACAAGACTTGCAGCCCTGCCCCAAAACGGCAACGAGACATTCCTTAAACCTTGCTTTAAGGAACCATTTGTCACCTAGCTGATATATCCTGAGTTTCTAGCCCTGCTGAGAAGTGTGAGACAAGGACCGGGCCTTCTGCTTTGGAGCTCCCTTCCTGGCAGGGGTGGAGAGAATGGGGTCAGTATCCGTGGCGTCTCTTAGCCAAGCTCCTCCTCCCCCCAGCCTTGCGTCCCCCTCAACAGGCTCTTACTTGAGCTTGCCCAGCCTCTTGGGCTTGTTTTCTTCCGCCTTGCGCTTGGCCTCCCGCTCTCGTTTCCGGCGAAGCAGTTCCGCCTCCCTCCGCTTCACCTGCAGCCGGATGGCGCGCAGCTGGAAGACTTCCTGCCGCCGGAGCCGGGCGGCCTTCTCGAGCGCTTCCCGAGCTTTCTGTTTACAGAGGGGGAAAAGAGAGAGAGAGGATGAGGCAGCAGCTCGGGAGAGAATGGCTTCCCTCCTCGCTTTTGCCCCTTGCTGTCCATGGTGTGCTCTGTAGCCCAGGGCAAACCCCTTCCCTCTTGCCAGCGCAGGATCGCTGGATCTCTCTCTCTCTGGATCTCTGGTCGTCCCCGAGAGCTGGCGTCCTCCCTGCTCCCGCGTAGCTCCTGCAGGGAGCAGATGGCAGGCGCCAGGCTTGGCCAGATGGCCGCGTGTTCGCGAGCCACATCAGCATCGGTGGAGAGGATAATCAGGCTCGCTCTGGCAGCCGGCCCAGAAGGCAGCCCCGATTGCCACGGCTTCTCAAGGGCAGCTGAGGGAGCAAGCCCTGGCAGAGGCTTAGGTGCCTGCACAGGAAGGAGTACGGGCGTGTGTAGAAACACACACAGAAACAAAACAAAAGGGCATTTTACGCACTCACAGGGCAACTGGTCTGTGCATCCCTGCACTAGAACAACTATCATTTTGCACCAAACTTTGCCTTGAGGAAAAGCTGGATCGTACAGTCTATATGGGCTATGGAGGTTTGGCTCCTCTTATTTTGAATTTTTTTTTGCAGCTTAAGAGGAGGAAGCAGCTATGCATGGGAGAAAATCCCCCTGCTTTTTACCAAGCTACTTCCCACTGGTTTCTGAGACTTCAGTAAAGAAATGTCAAGATTCTTTCAAGCACATAACCACCGGGGCCAGAAATGTCGTGTTTGATTTTACAGGAAAGGGAGGTGCTGAGGAAGTCGAATCCTCTAGCTATTCCATTTTGTAGGTTTTCTGTGCTCCAGCAGGAACAAGGTGCGCACGGACAGCCCTGTTCACCAGAGGCCTTGTGGGAACCTGCCATGCCCCATGCAACCACGAGCCCGTTTTGTGGCTTTGCTTATAGTGAGCTTCACTTCCAGAGACAAGAGAATAGAGAAACAACCCACACCCACACCTCAGAGGCAGGGGAGGCTATAGTAACTCAGCTGTAATTAGCCTTTGGCTAATTAGTTTAATCTATGACCTTTTAAACTGGGGAGTGTGTGTTATTGTTACTGTTTGTTGCTGTGCTGTGTATTTTTGTGTTTTTATATTGTGAACCACCCTGTGATCCTCAGATGAAGGATGGTATAGAAATACAGTGGTACCTCGGGTTACAGATGCTTCAGGTTAGAGATGCTTCAAGTTACAGACTCCGCTAACCCAGAAATATTACCTCGGGTTAAGAACTTTGCTTCAGGATGAGAACAGAAATCAGGCGGCAGCAGCGGGAGGCCCCATTAGCTAAAGTGGTACCTCAGGTTAAGAATAATAATTATATAATTATTATTTATACCCTGCCCATCTGGCTGAGTTTCCCCAGCCACTCTTTTCAGGTTAAGAACAGAGCTCCAGAACGAATTAAGTTCTTAACCCGAGGTACCACTGTAATAGTAACAACAACAACAACAACCACAACGATAGTTATTGTTGCATAGTGCTGAGGAGAGTCTGAGCTGGGAGAGAAGGTGCCCCCAATTCAAATGCCGCCTCTGGACGTGGCTCAGTTCCCAAGATCCTTTGCAGAAGGTCACATGTGTGCTTCAAGTGTATGGCATGCACAGTCTGAGACTAGAGGGTGACCAAAGGCAACCTTATCTTTTCAGCCCCACGTAGGAGCTGGGGAAGTCTTTTGGACAAGGTCTTACAAAGAAGTGTTAATTTCTTTAATAATGAACATTGAGAATAAAGCATTTATTCTTGTGAATATGAGGGAAAGAGGAGCATCCTCCTTTAATCCACCACAGTACTGAAAGTCCCAGGCCAAAGCCCTGGTGCAAATCAACCCATGGCCCCAAAGGCAATGACCCAGATATGACCAAGAAAACGTCACACAAAGACCCAGGTGCATAATTTTGGGGTGGAGGGGGGACTACAACTGGAACCCCCCCCCGCCACTTGATATTTTACATATGCAATTTTTAAGTTTTTCAACCAACGAACCATTTTTTCCCAAGACATGTTCCACAACAGGGACAGGGGTCCCTTGGCCTTCTGTTGGGGCCACATCCCCTCTTACCACTGTCCACACTGCCTTGGGCTAATGGGGAGCTGGGAGTCCAATCACCCCCTGGAGGACCCCTGCTCTAGAAAAACAACACGCCTGAATACTTGGCTGAACTTGCTTCAAGGTGGAAGGTGCAAGGAACCAGGCATTGACTGGTTGTGTTTAGCCTAACAGAGGACTGAGGGCTGACATGACAGGCCGTCCTCAAATACAGCCGTACCTTGGTTTTTGAACAGCCTAGTTCTCGAATGTTTTGGCTCCCAAACGCTGCAAACCCGGAAGTGACTATTCTGGTTTGCGAATGCTATTTTGGAAGCCGAATGTCTGACGGGGCTTCCGATTGGTTGCAGGAGCTTCCTGCAGCCAATCAGAAGCCGCGCCTTGGCTTCCGAACGTTTTGGAAGTCCAACAGACTTCCGGAACGGATTCTGTTCGACTTCCAAGGTACGACTGTACCCGACGGGCTGCCACATGGAAGGTGGAGCAAGCTTGTTTCCTGCTGCCCCAGGGGGTAGGACCCAAAGCGATGGATTCAAACGACGCGAAGGGAGATCCTGACTAAACATCAGGAAGAACTTTGAGGGTAAGAGCTGTTCCACGGCAGGACGGACTACCCCAGAACATAGGGGAGAACCTCAGTATTTAAACAGAAGTTGGACGACCATCTGTATGGAATTCTTTAGCTGCAATTTTTGTGTTTCAGAAGGGCGGCTGGACCAGATGACTCTAGGGAGCCTTCCAAGTCTACAACTCTATGGTTCTGGGATATAAGGGAGGGGCTCAGGCACAACCACAAATCTGGGGCTGTGTGTAAGTTTTGCACTAGACCGAGGGCAAACCCACCTTCCGCTTGGCCTCCTTCTCCTTTTTCCGCTGGCGCTCTGTTTTCTTTTCTCCTGCCGCCACTCGGGGCAGATGAGGTATGGGAGCGGTGTCCGCCTGCGACTCTCCCTCCTGAGGTTCCGACGGGCTCTCCTGCCCCCCTTCGCCGTCTGACTCCTCCTCCAAGAGGCCCTCGCACTGCTCCTGGAACACCATCTCCTGCAAGCGCGGAGGGAAGTTGCATTATTAGGAATGGGTTGGGGACGGAGAGAAACATCGCACACCCTGCCTGGGCTGCGTCTTCTCACAACGGCTGATAGAGTTTGATCAATTGTCTTCAAAGGATGTGCCAACTCTCTTACGGAGAAGAAGGCTGTTGCAAAGGCAAAAAGCTCTTTCCCATTTCATTCTGCATGATAGCTTCTGCCGGCACATCGATATATTTGAAAGGAGCCAGACAGGGTTCAGCACACCCTGTGTGGTTTTATTTCATTTACCTATAAGCATAAGCCATATCATAAAATATCAGTGTCCAACACTGAAACACAAAATAAAGAACAAGGCAGGTAATCATTAAAAAAATAAAATAAAACTGAGCAGCTACAAAGGGCCTGTTGGCACGAACATGTCTCGTAACAGATACCTAAAGGTCAAAAAGAGAGCAAAATCTTGGCTGGAAGAGTGTTCCTTTGCAAGGGCCTGGCGATGCTATATGACTGACTTCTAGTGGAGGCCAACGGGGCCTCTGTACATGGAAGGACAGCTAACAATTATTATTGCTCTATTGTTTATTCTTCTTCATCCGAAGATCCCAGGGCAGTTCACAACAGAAAAACACAAAAGGAGAAGACGAAATACACGGTAAAACCAAAACAATCCAATAACCCCCCTGACTTTCAGTGGGTTTACTTTGAGTATGACTAACACTGGATACAACCCAGGCTATCGGCAGGTCCCCCTGAACTCCCTGCAGCAGCATCGCCATTATCTAAGCAGTTAATAATTAGTAATACAGTGGTACCTTGGGTTACATACGCTTCAGGTTACAGGCTCCGCTAACCCAGGAATAGTACCTCGGGTTAAGAACTTTGCTTCAGGATGAGAACAGAAATCGTGCTCTGGCAGCGGGAGGCCCCATTAGCTAAAGTGGTGCTTCAGGTTAAGAACAGTTTCAAGTTAAGAACAGACCTCCAGAACGAATTAAGTACATAACCAGAGGTACCACAATGCTCCTCTGGATTTCAGTGACTGAGCAGGGATACAAGGGCTCTGGGGCCCTTATCCTGGACCCACACTGACCAGGGCTTTGTATTTCAACACAAGAAGGTTGGATATGGCTTGGTTTCTCCAGCAAGTCTTGCCCAAACCCCACCGGCAATGCTTAAATTGAAGGCTGGTCACTGCCAAGGCATGGCACCCAAAACGGGAAACGCACGTACCTCATACCAACGCATTTATATTGAGTCTCTGACTCCAAAAAGTAACACTTAAAAGCCCTCAGCTGCATTTAAATTCGACGTACAGAAAGACCCAGGACACAGGATCTTGCATGGCTCTTCCAAGCCTTAGGCTGGTTCCTGGCTCCTTCCCTAGGCTTGGGGGCTTTTGCTGTTTGGTGGGAGGCGGCTGCTGCTGCTGCTGCTCCTCAATGCCAGGCCCTGGCGCCTCTGGGCAGGATTATTTACATCTTCTCAGAGGCCGGCACATCCCTTTAAACTGATATAGTGCTGTAGGGTTAAGGCCTATTAGGAGGCTAAATATACGCTCTCCTCAGGCCAAGTGAGGAAACTGGCTTGCTTCTAGCGGGAGAGGGGTGCTAACCACGGGCAAAGCGGCCACGTTACCCTTTCCTGGTCCTCCGCAAAAGAGGATTCAGCGAGGAGGGGCTGAGAGCCACCAAGTGGCAACTTTTCATCTACATAAGCACGATGACTTATTGCTGCCAGGCTGCGACACCACAGCTCACCCCTCCAGGATCACACCTACTAAAAAGCACTAAAAAGCGAGGAAGTGACAAATTGTGATTTTGTCATGCAGTACCTGAACTGTCAACGTGTTTACCTAAACCTGTAATTCTCACGCTGCATCCCTAGGAAGTTTATGCGGGGCTTCTCTGGAAGATCAATAGCAGCAGCAGCAGCAGCAGCAGCAGCAGCAGCAGGTAAGCGTCCATGAAAAGGCAGCTTCTGGGAGCTTTTGCAAACTCTCCTTTCACACTGGACAGCTGCAGGTGCTGAAAACTCCTCTCTCTACCAACCCCAAGAATCTCTTCCTGTAATGCACAGAAGCAACTTAGCAGGGATAAAAATGTGGGAAGCGTTTTCCTTGGGACTGAAAGCTTGAAAAGCCCCGGCCTAGATGAGCCATTGTCATTTTATGGGCCTCTGCAGCTTTAGTGACCCTGGCAAACATGGAAAGGATGGCATAATGATGTGCTCTTAGGAGAAGGTAACGGACAGGAGAGCTTGACTGACTCTATCCGAGACAAGGCCCTCTGCACTCTTTGCACAAACAGGACACACTGCTGCTTTCTTGTGAGCCGAGGAAAAAACCAAGACAGCCTCCCCACAACTTGGCAACTTGCAGACGTCACTTTTCAGACTCCAATTCCCATAATCCCTAACCAATGGTCTGGAGTCCATGTCCAACATCTGGAGGGCACCAGGTTGGGGAAGCTTGCCCCAGGATATCCTGACCAAGTCTTCACTTGATACAATCCTCTGGTCCAATGGTGGCACCTCTGCTCCTTCTGCTTTTGTTTTTGCCCTCCCAAGAACAAGGTCAGAATGCCAGCAAGGGCGCAGGTCAATTCCCCAACAGCCTCAGCGGTGGAACTCCCTTCTGCAGGGTTAAATGCTCACCTCAGTGGGGGCTTCATCCACTGTGGGGAACTTCAGCTGACGCTCCAATCGCTCCGCTGCCTTCTGCTTCTTCAGCTCGACTTCGTGGGCTTGGAGGAGGAGGGCCTGCAAAGGGGGAGGGAGCAGCGTGAACAGCGGAGGAACAGGCCTAGCCATCCCTCGTGGGACCTCCGCTGTGATGCTTAAGAGACTGCTTCACTCATCCTGGAACGCTCTCTTCCAAGTCAGGCCCAAATGTGGCCCTTCAGCCCTCTCCATCTGGCCCTCAGGATCCTTCTCAAGCCACGTCCCTTGCCAGCCCTGCTCCACACCCTCCCTGGGTGCTGTTTCCTGGCTGCAATGTTTTATTAAACTGTGATATCACTCATTTGCCTGGCTGGCTGGCTGAGCCAGTGTGGCATAAAGGTTAGAGTCCTGGGACTATGACCTGGGAGAGGCCAGGGTTTGAATCCCCCACTCAGCCATGAAGCTAATGCTGAGTGACCATGGTGTCAGTCACCACCTCTTAGCCCATGGGTAGGCAAACTAAGGCCCGGGGGCCGGATCTGGCCCAACTGCCTTCTCAATCCGGCCCGCGGACAGTCCGGGAATCAGCGTGTTTTTACATGAGTAGAATGGGTCCTTTTATTTAAAATGCATCTCTGGGTTATTTGTGGGGCCTGCCTGGTGTTTTTACATAAGTAGAATGTGTGCTTTTATTTAAAATGCATCTCTGGGTTAATTGTAGGGCATAGGAATTAATTCAATTTTTTTTTTCAGAATATAGTCTGGCCCCCCACAAGGTCTGAGGGACAGTGGACCGGCCCCCTGCTGAAAAAGTTTGCTGACCCCTGCCTTAGCCTAACCCACCTCGAGCTCCTTGGAAGGTGAAGGTGGTTTATCAATGTAATACAACAGATAAAAATAATGTGTGCATGTGCATAGACACCTCTAACTGAATCTAGCCTGCTGCACATAGCTGAGAGTCACAACTTCTGCGCTGTCCAAATCTGACTCTAGTCCCGCCTGCCACTGGCATGTGGCCCCTGGGGGCTTGCTGATGAGGAAATGTGGCCCTTGAATTGAAAACGGTACCCCACCCCCACTTCAAAAGAGTGTGATGTGTTCCCCTGGCGCCTCCATTGCCTATGCCCCCTCCCATTGCCCATGGCTCCTTCCCCAATCCCTAGCAGTGCCGCAGCCACATCCCCACAGGTGGAAAGGCTTGCAGATACCTGGTGGGCTTCGAAACTGGGGTTGTAGGACCCTCCTGGGGGAATGACCTCCACGGCCGGCAGCTGAGATCGAGGCTTCTGCAGACGCTCCGGGCGCTAAGGAGAGATAAAGGAAAAGAGAGGCTGAAGCGGCCCCCGGCTCCCCACGCAACCACCCCTGCTCAAAAGCGAAGGCCCCCACATACCTTCACGGGCTGTTTTTTGGTCTGCTCCAGGAACCAGGTATCCTTCCCAGCCAGGGCTTTGTCCAGCGGGTCTGCAAAGACAAAAGAGGGAGGGGAGGAGATAGAAAGCCATGTCACAAGGCCAGCAAGAGCCTGAGCTTCTGCTTCTTCTGAACAAGGTGTGAGATGCAGCCTCTAGGGCTGCAGCCACTCAATTCTACCCCCCCCCCCATCAGCACACATACTGGCCTGCTCTGCTTTGGCAACAGTTGCCAACCTGGCCAGAGAGTGTGGGCGGGCAGTCACGTTCCAGCCACCCACGGGAACCGGGCAGTGGCCTGGAGGGAGGTCATTTTGTCCTCTGAAGCACTTAGATTAGCCCTGAACCTTTGACCCCAAGCAGATGGGGGGGTGGAGGGGGGGCAGGAAGAGAGGAGGCGGCGGTAGCAGCGGCAGCAGCTGGGAAGGATAAACACAACAGACACCTGAAGGCAGGGGAGAAAAGGGGAGGGGGAGCGAGGGAGGACTGTAGCTGCTCCAACCTGCTTGAATGAGTGTCAGCCGGGATGGAGAGAAATGCCAATCACCGCCCACCACCTTGTTCGCTGAGCCAGAAGCGCCAGGCAACTCCCGCTGGAAGCAACATGCAGAGCATGTGGGAGGGATTCCCCGCAAGGGGAAATCCCACAGGGCCAGCCTGGCCAACTGGGTACGTCTGCTTAGGGAGCCAACCTAGCAGATGACTCTCTCTGCCATTGGGCTGCCCTTTGCAGTCTCCGGGTCACAGAAGAGAGTCCCAGAGGCCAGCCTGTGCTCTCTTCGTCTCCCCGCCCCTTCCCAGCCAAAGCTGGAAAGAGAACTCAAGACGAATAGCTCTCAGCATCTCTTCTCTAACTACCGGAAGCCCTCATAACTTTTAAGATATCACAAATTCTTAAAACAGCCAGGATTTATTTTAATTTGGGGGGGGGGGGGCAAAGGAAAAAAGAGACGCAGGAGAGATTCCACCCCTGGGTTCCTAAAAAAGATCATTTTCAGCATGTCGCTGTGTGAGTGCTGACCTCTCCTGGAGAAAGCTAGCATGACACTGGACCATGACCTAGATAGAATCTGGAGGCCACGCTGACTTCCTTCCCCTCCCAGCTGAAGAGATTAAAAGCTGGAACAGGTACACATCTTGTACCGTAGAAAAGGAGGAGGGGATGAAGACAAAACCAGGAAGCCGATACACGCATGTGATTACAGGTACGTCTACTAGAGATAAAGAGATTCAACCATGTGTTGGGGAGTGGGGAATGTACAGTGCATGTCCCCAGAAGAGACACAAACTTCACACACACACACACACACACACGCACCAAGACCACAAAGGATGGCCATCTAGGTAACAGGCACACCTACATCAACCTGCGCAGGTAAGAAGTGAATAAATGGCGCAGCAGGTGGTATCACGCCTGCATCACACCAAGTATGAAATGACATTTCAAACTGCTGCCTTTAAGCTTCTGCTGTCCTTGCAAACCAGGCACATTCTACCCGCAAAACATAATTTTGAACAAGCAACCAGGTTGGGTTTTGTTTTGTTTTTGAAAAACGGCATTGTTGAAAAGTGGAGTTGGGTTCAAGAAGTGTCAGATTAGGTGGTTGGGTTCCTCCTAATGGCAAGGTTTCACCCATGCCATTCACGGCACCGCAAGGCATGAAGCGGAGACGTGGAGAAGGGAAGATGAGCCGCAGAAAACATGACCGGAAGAGCAAGGAGATACAGGTGAGAGGACAACCTGCTGCAAAATACACCAGCCGTTCCTTGCACGACTCTCAGATGTTTCCAGGAATGTTTCCACTTTTCAACAAAAGCAACTACTGTGGGGTGTTCTCAGCCCCCGTCAGCTATGGCAATGCAACCCGGGACAACTAGATATGTGGAAGGGTGACACAACTTTGTCCTTCATCTCTAGGGCAAATGTATTTGAGATGCTAGAGGGCAAAAGTAGCCTGCATGCAAGTAGCTTCCACACAGACCAACATCCTATTGAATTAGCTGGACACCAACGCCCTCACATGCCACTAGAGCTTCCCTCCAGATACATGCAAATGCTGCACGCAAAGGAACTGGCCTGTAGCTTAGGTGATGCTTTACGTGAGATGCTGGGCCACATACAATGACCTTCAAAATACGGGTGGTGCTGTGGTCTAAACCACTGAGCTTCTTGAGCTTGCCAATCGGAAGGTTGGCAGTTCAAATTCGTGTGATGGGGCGAGCTCCCATTGTTCTGTCCCGGTTTCTGCCAACACAGCAGTTCAAAAGCACACCAGTGTAAGTAGATAAATAGGTACCACTGCGGCAGGAAGGTAAATAGTGTTTCCGTGCACTCACTGTGTTCCTTTTTGCCAGAAGTGGTTTAGTCATGCTGGCCACATGACCCGGAAAGCTGCCGGTGGACAAACGCCAGCTCTCTTGGCTTGAAGCGAGATGACTGCTGCAACCCCATAGTTGCCTTTGACTGAACTTAACCGTCCAGGGGTTATTTACCTTTTTACCTTTTACCCTTCAGGAGACCTAGAACTCCACTCAGGCCCAATATCCCATGAAAACTGGCTTGCTAACCGCTGACTTATAACCAAAGCATGAGGCTATGCTCACCTGCTGGACCTTCCAAAAAGATGTAACCTCTACTCCACTACACCTGTTTATAAAGGGGGGTGGGGTAGCAGCAGTGAAACTCTCAAGTCCCACCCACCTAACTTTAACTCACAAGACTCCTCTCTCTTTCTAGAGCTAGGGATAGAATTATTGCACCTGACTGCCGTCTTGACTTACTTGAGTCTGACCACATGTCATAGAACGTCCTGGAAGGATCGATGCCGCTGCCTGCTTCTGCAGCTTTCACTGCCGGGGGCTTCTGCAACCTCTCCTGAAGGAGGCGCTCTTTCCGTGGCACCACCCCTTTCTCCGTCAACTTCTCCCAAAGCCGCTGCTTCCTCTTTAGCTTCTTGCCGTTGGGAACCTGGTGAGCGAGGATGCTAAGGAGAATAAAAACAAGTTCTTGGTCAAGCACAGGGGTAAGCAACCTTTTTCAGCCATGGGCCGGTCCACCGTCCCTCAGACCATGTGGGAGGCTGGACTATATTTTGGAAAAAAATAATGAACAAATTCCTATGGCCCACAAATATCCCAGAGATGCATTCTAAATAAAAGGACACATTCTACTCATTTAAAAACATGCTGATTCCCGGACCGTCCGGAGGCAGGATTGAGAAGGCGATTGGGCCGCATCCGGCCCCTGGGCCTTAGGTTGCCTACCCCTGGTCAACCAGGATTGCCGTCAGCTGAGCCACCATCAGCCGATGCTGACAATTATGAGGTAAATGGATAAATACTGTACAAGGCAGTTTCTTATCGAGAGGACATGAACCAGCCCTTTCCCCCACTTCCAGAATCATACATAGCAACTCGAAAAACCCTCTGGTTGCTCCCTCACTTTACTTCCCGATACTGTAGCAGCACCTTTAATCTCAGGGCAGCAAGAACAGGGCCTACTCTGGGCCCATGGGATTTTGGAGAGGCAAGCTACCTAAAGAGAACAGTAGTTCAAAGGAGGACATTGACCAGCTAGAAAAGAAGCCACAGAGCTGTAAGGAGTGCATCCTAAAGAGTCTAAGTCATATGATGAAAAAGTGGCTGAACTAAACTTTGTGGGGAGGAGAAATACTGAAAAATTCCCAATACTGCAAAGGCCAAAAAGTAGGAGAGAAACACTCACACTTCCCTGAGAATCTGACAGGCAACAAAATGGAAGGAAATTATTACTGTGAATTTCTATTTCCAGAGTCTCCTGGAGGAGTGCTTGCAATATGGTCATATCTAGAGTAAGAAAAAGGCTCCAATGTAGTTCAGTGAACCAAGTTGTGTAAAGAGACTGTGCGAAGGGCAGCCTGCTGGGTGTTATGCAAGTCAGCGCTGGCGCTCCCAAACTTACAACTTATCCTGCCTGGCTGCACCCTTCCTCTCTTGCCTCTAATTGTCTCCCTAAAGCTCAAAGGCTCAGATGGGGGATATCAAGAGCACCAGACAGGCAACGGGTTTCCTACAGTCTCTTCTGCACAACCCAGAAGATGACTTACTCTTTGGGTGGAGGCACTTTGGAATCCGGCTGCAGGATCAAGTCAATCCTCAACGGCTTCTCTTTGCCACACTTCTGTTTTCGGCCTGGAAGGAAAATGCAAGCCAAGGATTCATCAGAGGCACAATCAACAAACAGCACAATGAAGTAAGTTGAGAGCAGGATTTGCGAGTCCAACTGCAGGAGGCAGCTTATACTGCATGCAATGGGAACACTTTTGATCCAGGCTCCAATTTCTCTGGTATTCACGACCCAAGTTGACTCTTCTTGATTGTTGCAGCCTCTTACCTTTTTCTTGAACGCCAGTGTCTACGAAGAAGAGGGTTTCATTGGGTTTCTCTGACACAGGTCCTCTGGAGAGAAGGGAAAAAATAAATTATCCAGCCAACAGCTACCGTTCTGCTCCTGTATCATAACAACACAGAGAGCCAGTGTGGTATAGTGTTTAGTGATGGACTAGGACCTGGGAGGTCAGGGTTTGAATCTCCACTCAAGTCATGAAGACCAATGGGTAACCTTGGGTCAGTCACCATCTTTCATCCTAACCTACCTCACAGGGTTGTTGCTGAGTATAAAATATGGGGGGGGGGGAAGAACCACATACATTACATTGAGCTTCTCAGGTGGCATATATATATATAAATAATGCAATAATAAACACTGCCAATCCAAATCTCAGGCCACTCCACAATGTCCTCAAGATCTGCACCCACACTGGCTATTTGCACCACCAACAAAACATCTCCTTTCAAAGGTTTGGCTTCCTTGAGGGGTCCAGCCCATAATGTCAGCCGCACACCAGTGCCCCATAACTGTGGGTGCATCATCGTGTACTCCTTAGTAATTATCTCCCCGCACTTCTGCAACTGACTCCTCCCAGAACCCCTCTTGTTATTTCATCTTCAACCTCTCCAATTCTCTACAAAGAAAGGCAAGCAGGCACAAGAAAGGTGCATGAAACCACACATGGGAAATGTGGATAGAGAGATTGTTTCCACTACCTCTTGTAATACTAGAACCCTAATGGGGTTGATCCAATGAAGCCTGATAGGTGGGAGATTTGGGACAAGTGAAGAACTGAATCACACAACACATAGAAGAGGAGGAGTTTGGATTTGATATCCCGCCTTTCACTCCCTTTAAGGAGTCTCAAAGCGGCTAACATTCTCCTTTCCCTTCCTCCCCCACAACAAACACTCTGTGAGGTAAGTGGGGCTGAGAGACTTCAAAGAAGTGTGACTGGCCCAAGGTCACCCAGCAGCTGCATGTGGAGGAGCTGAAACACGAACCCGGTTCCCCAGATTATGAGACTACCGCTCTTAACCACTACACCACACTGGCTCCCTGAGATTTCATGATAAGGCAGTATATAAAACTAATTTTTAAAAAAGCTAATCAGCAGAATTCACTGCCACAAGACGGAGGGAAGGGCACAGTTAAAGGAATTCTAAGGTCTCAAATATAGAATAAATGTTGATAATTGCACAAGGTAAACACACATTCATAAGTATATAAACCACATGTCTAAAATAGTACAGGAGAGCAATCCCAAAGCCAAATTGGCTGGAAACTAAGGAGCACAAGGCTATCAGTAGCCGTGACAACCAAGTCCTCCCTCCACTGAGCCCCTGAATACTAAAGGCTGGGAATCACCAGTGGGGAGGGTTCCACCAGCTTTGTGCTTTCCATTTTTAAGTTCGGAATTTTCTTGGTGGTCAGCAAAAGAGGTTTAGAGACTGTCTCAAGGCAAATCTGAAAAAAATGTAGTATAAAGACCGACAACTGGGAAACACTGGCCTGCGAGCGCTCCATTTGGAAAACAGCCTTTACCAAAGGTGTTGTGGGCTTTGAAACAAAACAATAATAAAAAAATTCCTTCCAGTAGCACCTTAGAGACCAACTGGTATGAGCTTTTGCGTGCATGCACACTTCTTTGAAGACACTTGAACTCAGGACGCAAGGGAGAAACGTGCTAAGAGGAAGGAAGCCATGCTTGCCAAATCCACACCGTGATCGACTCCCACCCGAAAACCTATATCCCCACTATGGAACGATGTGTGGGTCCAGAATTGGCCTCCACAGTCAATTACAGACTCACTGTTAAGACCACGTTCATGGAACACAATCTTACTCGGCTACTAGGGATCACCAGAGAAGAAGAGCTTGTGGGCATCTATCTATCTGGCTGTGAGAACAGGGTGCTGTGGGCGAGGGTCCTGACCCAGCAGGGGGCTGTTTGGGTCCTGGGCCTCTGGGTCCTTACCCAGCAGGGGGCTGTTTGGGTCCTGGGTTTCTGGGTCCTGACCCAGCAGGGGGCTGTTTGGGTCCTGGGCCTTTGGGTCCTGACCCAGCAGTGGGCAGTTTGGGTCCTGGGCCTTTGGGTCCTGAGCAGCAGGGGGTTGTTTGGGACTTGGGCCCTGACCCAGCAGGGGGCTGTTTGGGTCCTGAGCAGCAGGGGGTTGTTTGGGTCTTGGGCCCTGACCCAGCAGGGGGCTGTTTGGGTCCTGACCAGCAGGGGGCTGTTTGGGTCCTGGGCCTTTGGGTCCTGACCAGCAGGGGGCTGTTTGGGTCCTGGGCCTTTGGGTCCTGACCCAGCAGGGGGCTGTTTGGGTCCTGGGCCTTTGGGTCCTGACCAGCAGGGGGCTGTTTGGGTCCTGGGCCTTTGGGTCCTGACCAGCAGGGGGCTGTTTGGGTCTTGGGCCTTTGGGTCCTGACCCAGCAGTGGGCAGTTTGGGTCCTGAGCAGCAGGGGGTTGTTTGGGTCTTGGGCCCTGACCCAGCAGGGGGCTGTTTGGGTCCTGGGCCTCTGGGTCCTGACCCAGCAGGGGGCTGTTTGTCAGCCTATTCCAACAGGAGCCCTGCTGGGTTATGGCCATAGGCCCCTTCAGAGGCAAACCATGCGCGCCGCGCCGGGTATGGTGATTCCCCCCCTCAGCCCTCCTGGGGGATGATATAGGCTGCCCCCGAACCTGGAGGCTCCACGCTTCGACCGCCCCCCGCGCTCCCGCCGAGGAGATTCGCTGCCAGGCTCACCCCAGCTGCCTCAGCTCGGCCGCCTTCTCCTCCAGCCAGTCTCCCAGGTCCCGGCCGAGCTTGGCCTCCGGCCCCCGCCACCGCTTCCAGCCCTTCTTGCGGTTCCTGGCGCCCAGGCCCCCCGCCCGCCGCGAAGGGAGCCGGCCCGGGTCGCGCGAGTTGGGGCCGAAGCCCAGGAAGGCCGCCTCGGCAGGAGGAGAAGCAGCACCAAGAGGAGCCGCCGCCGCCGCCATCTTGGGCCACGAGAAAGAGCGAGTCGAGGGGGCAGGGCGCCGGCGTCGCTTCCTTCTGCGCGGAACAGGAAGTGAGAACGGTCAACTTCCGGTGGCCATTTTGGGAGAGGCGGAGAGGCGCCCGCGATAGGAAGAGAGAGGGCGGGGAGTGGAGAGGGACAGGTGAGGTCAACTTCCGGTGTTAAATTTAAAGGCGCCGTCCTGCCATCATCATCATCATCATCATCATTGCATTGTAGAGTTGTACGAAGCCACGGGGGTCATCTAGCCCAACCCCTTGCATGGCAGGGGGGGTGAACTAGATGACCCTTGGGTCCCTTCCCACTCTTCTATGATTCCAATGCAGGAACCTTTTGCCCAAAGCAGAACTCGAACCCAAAACCCTGACATAGAAGACTCTCGTGTTCTGCTGAATGAGCTATCCCAGCAGCCGCCATTAAGCAATAGGAGTTGCAGTATCGTCTATTTATTTATAACCCCCACTGGACTCAGGGAATGTATGCAGGCTGAGCGGGGAGGTCACTGAGATACTTGGCTTGCCCTTTCCCCCCCGAGCCACTGGCATTTGGGGTTTGTGAGTTTAGAGAGAGAAGGCGGGTAAGAAATGGCATGATTAGAAATGCATGGAGTTATGCACAGGGTAGAGAAAGTGGATGGAGGAGAGTTTTCCTTCCTCTTTCATAATGCTGAAGCTCCGATCTGGACATCCATTGAATCTGAATGTTGGTCCAGTGGAACTCCCTCCCACACATAGCTGTCAACTTTCAGATTTGAAAATAAGGGACCAGCAGCCTCGAAAATAAGGGATCAGCAGCCCAAATAAGGGATTTTGCTTGGCTTATGAGTTCCATAGGCCCTTCCCCACCTGAGAGGGAGGGAGAGAGACTCGCCCATGCCGCCTGCAAGCCTGGCGTGAGGTGGTTGTGGCAGCGCTGTGGCCGCTGAAGCGCCGCCCTTCTGTGTTCCTCCCCCCTCAGGCCGCCTCAGCCGCCACCGCCACTGCTGCCACCTCCGGCTTCCCCTGGCAGCGCGGCGGAAGTCTCGCAAGAGAGGGGCTGCCTGCCCGCCCGCCCGCTGCCACCCATCTCCTCACGACGCGCCCCTGAGGGGGAAAAGGGAGAGACAGAGACGCGGCAGCTAGTGCGCACGCTCTCTCTCACAGTGGAGGACCCCACTGCTTCCCTCCCAAGCCAGGCGAGCATGAAACCCGGGAAATTTAAGAGACATCATCAGTCCGGGACAACAGCGGGACACGGCGCTGGGATAAGGGAGTTTCCCGCCAAATAAGGGACGGTTGACAGCTGTGCTCCCACAGGAGACTGATGGCCACCAGCTTGGTTGGCTTTCAAAGAGGATTGGACAAATTCACGGCTGAGGAGAGGGCTCTCCGTGGCTACTGACAATGGGGAAGGGGAAGGAGGGTTAGTATTTTATGTTTTTGGAGAAATAAAGGGTTGTTCTTTCTTTAGGGGTGGGGAGAAAATGTGGGACTGGGGCTGGACTAGATGACCCTTGTGACCCCTTCCGACTCTTCAAGTCTATCATTCTACGATTCCCTACTCCTGAAGTATATGATAAATCAAAGTATGCACATGTATGCATGTCCACTGTCAGTTTTGCATGCAGCCACTAGGGGACAGGCTTGTCCCAGTCCATCTGGGCTCTGGAGGGGCCGGGTGCTGGGTGTGGCTGGCAAAGGCCAGGGTGGTGAGTGTGTTTTTCCAACACTGCTAACTGTTTTCACAGGAGTTTGAGGGCTGGCGGATGTTTCCCCTCGGTATTCATGCCGCACCATCCGCCAACTGGAAGATACAGGCTCCCCACTGTTGCTTAAGTCAAGAGTAATTCCCGTGGCGTCAGAAGGGGGGGAAAGGGGGCATTAAACGTAATGCCAGCCACCCCTACAAAACCCACACACCCCTCAAAATGTGTGCTTTCTGTTTTGCACCGAAGGAGAAACATGTGAAAGCTGCAACTAGTTACAGGGGACAACCAGATGTGTGCATTTTGCAGAAATGGAAGAGATTACTTGGGCTTGCGATACCATAATGTATGGATTATTGCAATCTGACTCATCATCCCTTACTGGTCCAGAGAGGGAAGGAGACTCCAGACAGATTTTTATTTTATTTAATTTTTTGCAATATGGTGCAAGTTTCCTGAGGCCTTTCATTATCTGGAACAGAATCTTGCTCCATCATAATTGCAGAGACCAGTTGGGTTGACTGCCAGACTAATAGTTTGGGACTGAAAGCTTGGAGACTTCAATGGAGGGACTTCTATATATCTTGCTGCACTGAGGGATAGGACTTAGTTTATCTTCTCTGCAGACTCACACATGGCTGTTTTATCCCTGTTTTATTTCAGTGTGCCCTTCGATCATCGATGCCTGCATATCTTCCAGTGTGCGGTCTCACAAATCCAGCAAAACTTAGAGGTTCCTTGGGAGGTGCAGTGTTTTGTTGGCAAAAGTCCTGATGTCACTTTTGAGATTTGCACAGCAGGCCTGTGTGCTTGTCCCTGCACCCTTCCGCAAGTCTGCTCGGCATATAAATAAATACAAGATCGCAAAGCCACTGTGAAAGTCCAGCACTCTTCACTCCAAGTGCAAATTACCCTAAACCCCGGGCTGGAATATGTTCCTCATTCCCGGGTTCTGCCGTATTATTTCTGCTAGGAGTGCGGAAGCTGGCATTCCCTGTGTCCCCTTCTCTCACTCGGCCACAGACTTTCCATAGAAGCGCACGCACAAATGTACTTGGCTCCCTCCACAATTTTCTGACTCACCTTTTTAATTCTGACTCACTCCTTTTCCCTGTTCCTGCCCCACCATCTGTTTTCCACTGACCCCTGAAATTCTCTGGGTCTCGGCTCCGACCTCGTTCGCACCCCTTTTCTATGCGTGGGTAGAACCCAGAGGAAGGGTTAGGAGCCGCCCGCTCTCGGTCTCCACTTCTGTTCCAAAATCAAAAGCAGTGACTTGGAAAAGCAGTCAGGGAAGCAGGAGACAGCAGGGAATGCAGGAAAGAAGGGAAATCCTTTATTAAGGGGGACCGAATGGTGTGGTGCAAAAAAGCAGATTTTCCTAAGCAGGTCGGATGACAACCACTCAGTTGGGGTTAAAGGTAAAGGCACCCCTGACCATTAGAAACGCCGTTTACCTTCCCGCCGGAGCGGTACCTATTTATCTACTTGCACTTTGATGTGCTTTCGAACAGCTAGGTTGGCAGGAGCAGGGACAGAGCAACGGGAGCTCACCCCGTCGCAGGGATTCGAACCGCCGACCTTCTGATCGGCAAGTCCTAGGCTCTGTGGTTTAACCCACAGCGCCACCTGCGTCCCGCACAGAAGCTGTAATCCACCTTTATCCCAGATATACTGTCCTTTTGAGACTTTGGAGAGACGTCTTCCTTTGAGACTTTTGTGAGACGTCTTCCTTTGAGAGACAGCTTGGCGTGTCAGCTTCGCCTTTGAGCCGGTGACAACAACTGGGCTCAACGTCTTCAGCCCCGACTGGGCCAGTCAAGCTGGAAAAGCACTTCCAGAGACCTTCCACTGCGGGAAGCAGGTCTAAGTGCAATGGACTCACAACTTGGAGCTGTGAGCAGCAAACTCAGTTCCAAAGTCAGCGGAGCACAGCAGAGTATAAACTACACGAACAACGGCTCTGAAGCATAACTTCTTTTATTTTTTTACAGCTACTGCGAAACTAAAATAAACTACTAAAGACTATGGGAGATGCTGGACTGCATGAGTGTTACAGTTGCTTAAGCAGTCATCTTATCTCTATACAGATAACACTCAGACTCCTTTAGGCTGGAGCGGAAGAAGCAATGAGCAGATTCCGCCCCCTCCTTTCTGAAACATTGTCAGTAGATTCTTGCAATGGGAGGGGGGAAATATCCACATCCTCCCCCTTTTCATGCCAGCCATTGCGTTCCTCGCTATTGATTGATTTGTTTGATTCTTTCTTTGACTTATACCTGTAGTTACTTGCATATTTTGTGAGATGTGTTGCATGATATATAACATCATTTTGAAGCGGCTTATTCGTATATTTTGAATAACATCATAACCGATTATATATTCACTAACAGTTATTAGCCAGCATGTTGCGTTTGCATTTTTGTAGATCTTTGGAAATTAGCTGTAATCAGCTGATAGTTGTTATTGGGGTTTAGGGTTCACTTTCATTTTTACCGTTCTGAATGTGGTGGAAGCATAAATTGTTTTATGTTGATTGTAGGTAAAAAGGTAAAGGACCCCCGGACAGTTAAGTCTAGTCAAAGGCGACTCTGGGGTTGCGGCGCTCATCTCGCTTTTCAGGCCGAGGAAGCTGGCATTTGTCCACAGACAGCTTTCCAGGTCATGTGGCCAGCAGGACTAAACCGCTTCTGGCACAAAGGAACACTGTGACGGAAGCCAGAGCGCATGGAAGGTGTGACAGAAGCCAGACCACACGGAAATGCCGTTTACCTTCCTGCTGCAGCGGTATCTATTTATCTACTTGCACTGGCGTGCTTTCAAACTGCTAGGTTGGCAGGAGCTGGGACAGAGCAATGGGAGCTCACCCCGTTGCGGGGATTCGAACCACCGACCTTCTGATCGGCAAGCCCATGAGGCTCAGTGGTTTTGATCACACTGTTGTTCTGGGGAAGCGACACAGTTAAAACTGTTCCACTGTCTGTAAACCGTCTTAGGAGCTTGAGTTTGTTAGCTGACTGGTACATAAATAGTAGAAATATATTTATTAGAAACCTGAATAGTGGATTACGCCCCATCGCCTATTTTCCTGCATGCTTATTGGTCATATGGAGATTCAAATCCATGTTAGTATAAATAGCCTCTGACCTGGTCGCCTATGGCAAATACTGATCACTTCCAAGCAATCAGGCAGAGAAAATGGTGTTCTGGGTGTGGGTGGGCCACAAATGATTAATAATGTGAGAGCAGATGGGTTGCAGAAATTTGTGAAGGCTCCTTATTTTTGCAGACTGATTTGCAGGGCTGGTGTGTCTGTGTGTGTGTGTAATAGCTCTTAAACATAACACTAGGCTTGCTTTTCGTGCATTTAAAATCCTTAATATCTGCTAGAGCCTTTAATTCTTGCTGTGAACCATGTCCACATCCCAATCCAAAAGAGCGCCGGTGATTAAATCCCATAATGGTCGCATGCACACCATACGTAAGGCGCATTTAAAGCATGCCCACAAAGAATCATGGGAACCGTAGTTTGCCCACCACAGAACTACAATTCCCAGCACCATTAACAAGTTGCCATTCCTGATGTTCTTTTCTTGTGTGCGCTTTAAATTTATGTGCACGGCCAATGTGTGTGCAGGCCCTTGTTCCCGGTCCTCCCATTGGACATAGCGAAGAACTGGCTGGTCACTGAGCTTGCAATTGCTGGCCTGGTAGCGCTGCAATCTGGGGGGGCCCTCTTGGATTTGTGGAGCCACCAGGGCAGGATTTTAGGGCACCTATCCAGAGCCCCACTCAGCAGAATGAGCAGGAGGGCCCCTGAGCTCTGGGTGACGAGGTTATCAAGTCAATAAAGTCATGCAAACTATCGTCTGTAAAGCTGCCCCGTTCAATAGTCTTAAATTATCAAACCGCACCCACTCTGCTCCCCTTAGTCGGGCAGGGGCTTTGCCCCAGCGCTACCCCCACCGTGGAATCTCCATGTACTGAGCCGTTTGGTACCGCCTGTTCTTTTTGGCACCCGAGAGAGGAATGTGAAAGTTTCCTTTGGCCTGGCGAGGAGTGTTCTGGCCAGGGCCCAGTGGGTGAGTCACAGGCTGGGGACACTTGCCATGCCCTGCCAAATGGAGGGAAAAAAGCTACGTGGGTCTCCAAAATTTATTCCCTCCCCCATGGCTTTGTACGGGACAAGTCCTGCAGATCTCTGGTTTCTCTCAAGGAAGAGAATGGTGCACACATGATGGTTCCTCAAGGGTTGATGGGAACTGTAGCTCTGGGAGGGCTCCGCTACAGTTCCCAGGGTTCTTTGGGGAAACTGGCGGACTTGGGATTCTCAAATTTCAGTGGTGCTCTTTGCCTCTGCTCAGGGTTCTGTCCTTTCCCCTATGCTTTTTAACATCTACATGAAGCCACTGGGAGAGATCATCAGGGGGTTTGGGCTGGGTGTTCATCAGTATGCGGATGATACACAGCTCTACCTCTCCTTTAAATCAGTACCAGTGAAGACGGTAAAGGTCCTGTGTGAGTGTCTGGAGGCGGTTGGAGGATGGATGGTGGCTAACAGATTGAGGTTGAATCCTGACAAGTCAGAAGTACTGTTTTTGGGGGACAGGAGGTGGGTGAGTGTGGAGGACTCCCAGGTCCTGAATGGGGTAACTGTGCCCCTGAAGGACCAGGTGCGCAGCCTGGGAGTCATTTTGGACTCACAGCTGTCCATGGAGGCGCAGTTAATTATGTGTCCAGGGCAGCTGTTTCCCAGCTCCATCTGGTGCGCAGGCTGAGACCCTACCTGCCTGCAGACTGTCTCGCCAGACTGGTGCATGCTCTAGTTATCTCTCGCTTGGACTACTGCAATGCGCTCTATGTGGGGCTACCTTTGAAAGTGACCCGGAAACGACAACTAATCCAGAATGCGGCAGCTAGACTGGTGACCGGGGACAGCTGCCGAGACCATATAACCAGTCCTGAAAGACCTACATTGACTCCCAGTACGTTTCCAAGCACAATTCAAAGTGTTGGTGCTGACCTTTAAAGCCCTAAACGGCCTTGGCCCAGTATACCTGAAGGAGCGTCTCCACCCCCATCGTTCAGCCCGGACACTGAGGTTCAGCGACGAGGGCCTTCTGGCAGTTGCATCACTGCGAGAAATGAGGTTACAGGGAACCAGGCAGAGGGCCTTCTCAGTAGTGGTGCCCACCCTGTTGAACGCCCTCCCATCAGATGTCAAGGAAATAAACAACTATCTGACTTTTAGAAGGCATCTGAAGGCAGCCCTGATTAGGGAAGCTTTTTAATGTCTGATGTTTTATCGTGTTTTTAATATTCTGCTGAGAGCCAGCCAGATGGGCGGGGAATTAATAATAATAATAATAATAATAATAATGGCTCCTGGGACCCTCCCCAGGCCACAGCTGCCGCACCGTAGCATACAAACGTAAAAAACTGAATACCACACTGCTAAACTCTCACACCAATGTTAGGGAATAGCCATAAGCCCTATGCTAGACAGACATACACACACAGAGGCACACAGCACTAAGATCCCAGGAAAAGCAAGCCAAACTCTGGCTGGTAAATACAACATGTTTTATTTAGGCTGAAATGCTGTTACAGTGACAAAGGCACATCGCGGAAGCAGCAGGGGGTCCTCTGCACACCTGGGTCTCCCAAGGAAGTGCATCAAGACCAGCAGAGGGGGTCTCAGTGAAGACAGTTGGTTCCTTATATTTCCCCACCACCACCTGGAATCAAACTTCTTGCCTTGATCCTGTGGTTTGATGTGGAGCTGTCCGTCTTCCCTTTCCATCCCAGGGGACGGGGCAGCTCTGCTGGGGCAAAATCCTGGGATGCAGATCAGCTTTTGCCTCTGCAGTAAAGTGATTGGGAATGACCTTGCAAATACAGGGGTGCTGGGAAAAGTTTGGAAGCAGAATGAACTGGGCGAAACGGTGTATATACACACACATAAGGATATTCATATTATGTGTAGGTGGCTTGCATCATCTATTCTGGGTGCAGAGTTTGGAGTCTTTGGTTGCAGATGTTGACATTTTAAGAATAAAGGGGTGACAGCCCTGCCTACAGGATGAGGAACCCACAGCTTCACCAGTGGGCTAAGGGGTTTTCTAAGAGCACTCTAGGGATCTGTTTGGTCTTGTAAGTGCCAAACAACTTCCACCAGAACCAGGCCATCTGAATGTCAGCTACACGCTCTCTGCTCCCTGTCTGTTTCATCCAATCCAGAAATCTCCAAAGTCAGCATCAAGTCACTCCTAAAGCAAACGGCAAGCAAAGTCGGCAGATAAATGCTGCTGTTTCAATGTGAAATAATACGCACATGGCTTCTGCAATAGTAACAATAAGGCTGAATGGAGCGAACGAAGCAGCTCAAGTGTGTAGCTGGAATACAGTGAAAGAGGGAGGGATCTGAGCCCAGCAGGTATACATGAAGCAATGCAGATGGAATAAAAGTGACAGCTATTCCCTGCACACAGTGCTCACACGAGAACAAACTTGACCTGAAACAGTGCTACTGCGAAAACACAGCTGGAGAGGCCGGGAAGCAGATTTGAACTCCACGACTACTGGCAAAAGTTTGTTGACAAAGTAATGCAATGAATGAACGGAATGTTGTTCGTGTCACACCCAGCCCAAAGGATGACATGCCAGCAAAGGATTTTCTGCCCAACAAAGAGCTACGCATCTGAGAACCTCGCAATTCTTTGGTGTACTTGTTTTAAAGCAAGTTGCTAGACCGCATGGATTTGGATAAATGGCTGGAAACTTCTCCGAGTTTTTTCGCCTCCTGATGTTCTTTCTCATCCCTCTAACATACAGTGGTACCTCAGGTTACAGATGCTTCCGGTTGCAAACTCCGCTAACCAGTAAGTGGTTGCTCCAGGTTAAGAACTTTGCCCCAGGATAAGAACGGAAATCCTGCGCCAGTGGCGCAGTGGCAGTGGGAGGCCCCATTAGCGAAAGCATGCCTCAGGTTAAGAACTGTTTCAGGTTAAGAACGGGCCTCTGGAACGAATTAAGTTCTTAACTCGAGGTACCACTGTACTTCTTTTGAACTCCAATGATTTGGGAGGGAGGGGGAAAAATCAATTAGCAGGAGGGGAAAGTATGGAAGCATATGCAAATATACATCATTAGAAACTTGCAGAGAAGACTTGTTATGTTGAAGCAATAGGTGGAATCAACATCTCCTCTGAACCTCATTCCCACAACTCTTTCCACAGAAGCAGACATCTTTCTCATAAGAACCACGTAAATTGTAAATAGCCCCCTCTAACCACTAATGATCACGCACATTCTGTGACATCACAGCAGCTCAGCCAAGGTACTTGAGGGGGCTCGCAGACAGCTGGCAGCCAATATTTAGGTCAAGGGGGGACAACCTTTCAGTATCAGAACATCTACATGTTTAATTGCAGCACGGGGAAAACAACCCAGAAGCTCTGGCTCAAAGGTCTAAAGATTTGGATAACACTGCAGGGACAAGCATCCTTTACAATTCCTGTAATAGTTGTAAAGATATTATAACGTTGAAGGGTTGCTCACCCATGGCGTAAGCTCTTCAGTGTGTGGCGCAATATATTCCAAAGACTGAATGTGCAAATCATTAATTTGCAACATGGAACATGCACAGCCCTGCCAGGGAATGCTTCACAGTCCTCCGGAAAACCATTGTGGAGTTAGCTGCCAAGCTGCTCTGCAGCACCTAAGAAAGAGGATGGGGAACCATGCATCCCCTACTTGTCTCTATGGCCGGTTCTCCGGTTTTAGTCCTACTGACTGAGACACAGAGGCCACGTCTACACAACAGGCTTGAACTGGTTTACCTGTCACTTCCTCTCCCCCTGGGAACTGCAGGTCTGCGACAGGCTCTTTAAGGAGATAATTCTCAGCACCCTAAGCAACCTGCAGCGTCCTTTGCAGGGAAGCCAGGATAGTAGAAACCCCAACAACCCAAAGCAGGTATATGTTCTAGACGGGGTCATTATGACATGCTCCCAGGTCAAAAGGAGCATCTTGGAAGCATCAAGTGTGGGCAGAACACTGCTTTGGTCTTCTCAGCAAGGGAAAAGGCTTGCAGAGGTGCAGGGCATGGGAGTGAGGTCTGGACAGAATTACGAAAGAGGGCCCTCGGATCAGAGCTAGCACCAAAGGGCAGGCTTCCTATCAGTTGCAGAAGAGATCCAGGGTGCTGCTTGGGTAGAAATGCAGCTATGATGCCTTGTAAGAGGGTGAGCCTAAGGCACAGTGTTAGGATAATAAAAATGCAAAACTTTGGCACTGCTAATGCACAGATTGAGGACCAATCAAGACAGAAAATTTTATTGCATGAAAGCAATTAATGCACATGGTTTTCATTACATAAAAAGCAGCTGGTGGTGGTGGGGAAGTGGGCTGGAGGGGAGCACGATAAAGGCTGGGGCTGGGCTGGGTGGGGCTGCTCAGGCTTCCCAATGGATGGAATTTACACAAGAGCCTTGTGGCACCTTAAAGGTAAAGGGACCCCTGACCATTAGGTCCAGTCGTGGCCGACTCTGGGGTTGCGGCGCTCATCTCGCTTTACTGGCTAAGGGAGCTGGTGTACAGATTCCGGGTCATGTGGCCAGCATGACTAAGCCGCTTCTGGCAAACCAGAGCAGCGCACAGAAATGCTGTTTACCTTCTCGCCAGAGCGGTACCTATTTATCTACTTGCACTTTGATGTGCTTTCAAACTGCTAGGTTGGCAGGAGCAGGGACCGAGCAACGGGAGCTCACCCCGTCATTCGAACCGCTGACCTTCTGATCAGCAAGTCCTAGGCTCTGTGGTTTAACCCACAGCGCCACCCGCGTCCCTTAGAGACTCACAAATTCATGATTCCAGAAAGGCTTGTGCCATAACAACATTAGTTGGTCTTAAAGTGTGGTGCAATATTCTGCCTTTGCTTTTGGTGCGACAGACGGGTAACTCAGACAGCCCTCTCGAAATCGCAACACAAAACCCCCGTGCCATGTTAATTGCATAATTGCAGCCATCGCCAACCTGGTGCCCTCTGGGTGTTTTGGACTACAACTCCCACCAGGCCAAGCCAGCGCAGTTGTTTTGCAAGCAACTTCCCCCGATATAAATAAGTCTTGTGTGTTAATTTCAGCAATATATGCATTTCTAAGCGCGTCTCTGCTAACACATTCATCTTTTTATTTGGCTATAGAACAGAAAAGTGCAAATTTCAAAGGGTGGCTGTGTTTTTGGTTTGCATATTGTTTTGGGGCATGCGGATTAGGTAGGTAAGTTCATCAGTGCAAGCTGAAGCAGATTGCGCCCCGATTCCTAACTTGAGGTGCCTTATTCCAATGTAAGCCTCAAGCCATAGACTGCCCATCTGGTCATCAGCCCTTATTCAACTTTCTCAACCACCTCACCCTTGCAAATGGATGGAGATCTTCTTGGCTGTGAGGTCAACTCAGGCCTCTACTTGGCCTTTGGCCAGTAGAAAAAGCATGAAGTTTGGAGGAAGCTAAATCCCAGGAGAGCTTGGGGTGTGGCCTCCAGCAGTATTCAGGCCTAGGAATGGAGGCTATTTCAGTAGTCAGCACAAACAGGCAGCCAGAGCAATTGGGGTGTGGTTTCTCAAAAACCAGCAGAGGCTTTTGAGGAGTGGATGGGACGGCAGCAACTTCCTCACCGTGTCGCAGGCCTCCGTAGGGAACGACCCTGCTTGAGCCCAGAGAAGGCTCCAAGGCATTTGGTTTTCTGAGACAGAGAAAACAGAGCAGCAGCCTCCCTCAGGCATGACAAAATGTTTAACGACAAACAGAGCAAATGACGACGCCTTTCAGTGGTACCCACCCGAAATCTGGCCTGTGAACGTGAAGGCCAGGTTTCCGCCTCTTGCCTACTGGTAGGGCCGGCTTTGGCTTGAACCCAGCAAATGTGGGCTGAAGCAGAGCTTGCTAAGAGGATCAGAAGAGTCCTGCTGGATCTGGTTCAGTGGGCCATCTTGGGTTCACAGTGGCCAACCGGATGCCGATTTGGGAGGTGGCAACAGCCATAATGGCTGATGGGGATGGACGGCGTTATCATCCATGAATTTGTCTACTCCTCTTTTAAAGCCACCCAGGTTGGTGGCTTGTTCCTGTGTAGGAGCTTCCATCCCATAACACTTGGGAAGGGGCTCCTAAGAAGCTCTTGCTTCTGCCAACGTCTTCCCCGAAGGTGGGGTGGTTGGGGGAAATGCCTGTTGCATTGAGGCGAGCGCTCTTAATCCCATCTCCAGGTGGAAGACGCTTTTGCCTCCCTGGTCTGCAAAGAGGGCCATCTCAAAGGCTGGATTTGAAGCGCCACCGCCTCAAGCATTCTCTGCCACCCGGGGGGCATGGTGCCAGGAGGCACTTCCAACATCTGCTGGTCTCCTGCTGGCCCAACTCTCCTTGCTTTCCCTGAGGGATTTGCACATTCCAGGCAGGCTCTCGCTGTGAAGGGCACCTCTCCAATGGGAAATAAGGGAATTCTTTTAACTCGGTTTATCTATCTAGCCCATGGTTTCTACTTTGCCTTCCCAAGCCAACAAACACCCAAGGCATAATTTTCACTTGCGAGGATGGAAAAGAAACCCAGGCAAAGCTCTCTTCTTCCATCAACACTATCTGTGAAATGACAAGCCCCATCCATTTCTTTAGCCTCACCTGGAAATGCCGGGGACCTTCTGCATGCAAAGCGGGTTCCTTACCACTGAGCTATAGCCCTTCCCTAGAGGGTCCTGTACTCTGGGCATGTAAGGGTTGCTAGGTGAGCATTCATTCTGTGAACCTTGCTCCAAAAGGTGGACACTGTAGTTGAACCAAGCCTACTGGTGGCAGTAGGCCAGGGTGGGTCAATGGATACCCTCTCCCTGATTTCTTTAAAGGCTTCCTGGTCAGGTTTGCACGTGGACCTGAGTGTGGACTGATGTTTCTGTCCTTTCCCTTGCCGGTCTTCCTTCACTCCTGCCTCACGTCGCCCCCCGACTGATGGAGTCCGGCAAGGAGTAATGGCGGCAGCAACGCCACCAAGGAAACCTTCGACCGTCGCTGTCCATAAGGCCCTGCCGGAATAATGTCCCCGAGCAGCCTTGAGGTGTCCAGCTAGGGAAGTTCAACGTAGAGAAGGTTTCTAATGGAACCAGAGGAATGAGAAGGGCACACATTGGAGCCTGAGCTGGCAACAAGGCCAAGACCCAGTGAAAAAAGGTCAGGATTCTTGGGTCAAGGTTCTCTTCGTTTGCGAGCGGCAAGAGAACAGTCCGAAGCTGGTGCCAAGAAAGCAGGTAGCTCAAGTGTGAGATAACTATTGCCGCATTGCTGTAGGAAGCCCTTTTTCTGAGAAAGGAAGACCTCCTGGAAAAGTCTGGCACGTGTGAGGGCCAACAGCCACCAGCCCAACTAGGCCTGGGAGAAGGAAGTGGAAACCTGGAATATGATACCAACTGAAGTAGTTGAAACGATGCTTGGAAGACTAAGGCCTACGTGAGGAACTGAAGCCTGCTGGAGCGGACTGGAACTTTTCTAGTTTTCTTTTGAGTCCAGTAGGGACGAAGAAGAAGGCAGAAGTGGTGACTGGCTTGAAGGAGGGAGCAGGAAGCGGGATCTGCCATGCTGTGGGAGAACGAGGCTTTCACGAGGGCTTTGAGCCAGATAGGGGTGGAAAATGAAAAGTCGGAGCCAAACCAAGGCCTACTGGAGCAGTTCAAGCCTTGGCGTAGGAATGGAGGCCAGCTTGGGGAGATTCCTTACTCTGCCGACCCCTTCTGCCGACGCTTGGAGGGCGGCACCAGGTGGCGGGGCAGGTCGGAGGGCAGGCCGTGGCCCTCCAGCTTGACCTCAATGAGGTGGCTGGCAAGAGCAAACTCCTCGTCGTCCAGCATGCCGTCGCGGTCGACGTCGCTGAGCTTCCAGATCTTGCCGAGGACGGAGTTGGGCAGCTTGGTGGTGACCATCCAATTCTTGGCTTTGGTGCCGCTCAGCTTGCCGTCCATAGGGGACAGGTTGTAGAAGATCTCGTCGTATTTGGGCTTGTCCTTGGTCACTACCCACTCGTCGTCGTCCATGCCCTCGTAGGCCCCCTCGGTCGCTCCTTCAATGAAGGGGCCGTTGCGGGTGCCCTCAAAGGCACCGCCGTGCACAATCTGCTCGGGGACCTCCACCTCCTCCTGGCGCAGGAGCGGCATCAGCTTGGCAATGTCCAGCGTCAGCAGCTCATCCAAAGCATCCACCATGCGCGGCTTCAGCCCGTGGAATTTGGTGAAGTCGTGCACCATGAGCATCTCCTAGAAAGAATTGGGAGAGGGGGAAGTGGCATAGCTTATGGGACTAGCCCTGTGGCACTCCTGCCTGCTTGAATACAATGCTATATTCTATATACATTAAGTGATGCTGAACCCCCCCGAAGCTGGGTGACAGGAGCGAGCCAGCAGTAAATCACACTGAGCAAGTCGGAGTTAAAGGTAAAGGGACCCCTGACCATCAGGTCCAGTCGTGGCCGACTCTGGGGTTGTGGCGCTCATCTTGCTTTATTGGCCGAAGGTTCCGGGTCATGTGGCCAGCATGACTAAGCCGCTTCTGGTGAACCAGAGCAGCGCACGGAAACACCATTTACCTTCCCGCCAGAGCGGTACCTATTTATCTACTTGCACTTTGATGTGCTTTCGAACTGCTAGGTTGGCAGGAGCAGGGACCGAGCAACGGGAGCTCACCCCGTCATGGGGATTCAAACTGCCGACCTTCTGATCAGCAAGTCCTAGGCTCTGTGGTTTAAACCACAGCGCCACCCGCATCCCTTAAGTCAGAGTTAACTATTAGCAAAAACAGGATCTGCACAGGAGTGCCAGTAGGTCTCCAGTAGGTCTTGCCCACATGAAGCAGTTGCTGAGAGTGAAGGCCTTCTCACAGCTGCCTAAGTCCCCTCCTCTCCAGGGCTTTCCCCAAGCAATCTGAGACTGTGCCTGCATGAAGCTAACTTCTCCTCTGCCCTCTTCATGCCTCTTCTGGTTCTGGGAGACCAGGAGGGGAGCGTGTTTCAGAAGGAGGGGGAGACCCCCTGGCTTCTTCAACAGCCTGACACATCTCTGCCTCTCCAGCCTCTGCTTCTGCCTCTGATTCTGGACTGCTCTCTGCCACAGCCTCTTCCCGCTCACTAAACCCTGTTAGCTCTTCAGCTCCCCACACTTCCTCTTCCCTGTCTTCTCCCTCAGGCCACTCATTGTCACCCCCTGGCTCTGAGCCTTCTTCCCCTGGGGGTTCCCCAGCTGGTGCCTCCCTCCACTTCTCTGCATCCAAGCAGCCAATTAAACTAGGTGAGGATTCTGCCTGCACACCACCAGCAACATTGGAAGGGACACAGATTCTCTACCCCTGATCCTGAAGTGAGGACCATGGCAAAAAAATTAAGGAGATGGGATCTAGTACAGTACAGGGAAACCTTTGTTGTTTTGCCTATCATGGCTGCTTCAGATGAGTGCGATGGGAGACGAGGAAACTGCCCTCACCTGCATCTTGTTGCAGTCGGGGAAATCGCCCGGCGAGATGTGATGCTCAAGTTGGATCTTGGCGAAGATGACGGGCAGCTTGGCGATCAGCGCTTTCTTCTTGTTGTCCTTGCCAAAAACGGACGGCATCTCTCTCTTCAGGTGGCTGATGATGTGAGCATGAACCTGGGTGGACCGAAGCAGCAGCTTATGAAGATTGGCTCTTAAGAGCAGCACATGTGTCTGTCAGGCCACATTCACACCATGCATTCAAAGGCCTCGGCCCTGTATACCTGAAGGAGTGTCTCCAAGCCCATTGGTCAGCCTGGACACTGAGGTCTGGCTCCGAGGGCCTTCTGGCAGTTCCCTCACTGCGAGAAGTGAAGTTACAGGGAACCAGGCACAGGGCCTTCTCAGTAGTGGCACCCACCCCATGGAACGCCCTCCCGTCAGATGTCGAGGAGATAAACAGCTACACAACTTTCTGGAGACATCTGAAGGCAGCCTGTATCGGGAAATTTTTAATATCTAATGTCTGGCTATGTTTTTACATTGTGTTGGAAGCTGCCCAGAGTGGCTGGGGCAACGCAGTCAGATGGGCAGGCTATAAGTAATAAATAATAATAATAGTAATAATAATAATAATAATAATAATAATATGAATGCATTGGATACTGCCCATCAAAATTTATGGGAGCTGTGGCTATTTTGATGGGTCTGCTCTGACTAATCTTGGATACAACCCCCCTGTTCAGGATCAAAGTTAAGATATCGGCTACTTTTAAAATGAGGCTGCATTTTAAATTGCATTTTAACTTGTATTTTAAATTGTTCCCCCCATTATGTTTTTACTGTGATTTTATTGGTGTTAGCCACCCTGAGGCCGGCTCTGGCCGGGGAGGGCGGGGTATAAATAAAATTTATTATTATTATTATTATTATTATTATTTGCTGAGGGAGTATCTTGTAGCTTTTTTCTGTTCCTTCTTTCTTCGGTATCTTTCTTTTCTTTATTTCCTGTGGATTAGTTTGGGTTTTCCTCCCCTATTGTAATGTGAAAACCTCAATATATTTCCCCCCCCCAAAAAAAGATACACTCCCTCGCCCCCTGCTCCTTACTCGCCACTGGTTGCAAGGCTGGCCCAAGCTTTTTGGCCACCTGAGGCTAAGATAGCGCTGCCTCCTATTCCATGCTCAAAAGCTGATCAAGCTGGCAGGAGGAGGTTCCTTCAGCACTGATGACAGGAACCTGTCCTCCACCACGTCTGAGGGTTGCAGGCTGGCTTAGGGCAAGCAGGGCAGGCTTTGCAGCACACACCTAGCGACTGCCCTCCAACATTGTTTAGCTGTGCACACACACACTGGCACCTGCCGCCTTACTCTGACGAACGGTAGGACCGGCCCTGAGTGGCCGAGCTGTCGTGATGTCATGGAATGTCCGCAGGCCCTCCAAGTGGGGAGCATGGAGACAAGCAAAAGGTTAAGTGATGTCAGGCAGAGCATTTTGGTGCTGAAGAAAGAGGAGGAGGATGCAGAAAGAAGTCAAGGCAGTAGGTGGGGAAAGAAAGATGTGCCAAAGCAGATATCCTGGACTTGTGCTAGGCAGGGTGTTCTTTCCAGGAAAAGGTGTTTTTACAGGGCCAGGAAGCTTGAGGTGGTAGAAGTCACGGACCACTTTTGAATGCTATCTTCAGGCTTCCAACAAAAGCGTTACCAGCTTTCCCCAACTTGGTGCACACGAAAACTGATCGTGTTCTTTCCAGGACTTGAGCGATGCAGCACTGAAGAAGTTTCTAGCATTTGAGAGCAGCCCAAAGCAGGCTTTGCAGTTCTGGACTTCTGGCTAGAAGATAGATTCCCTGGGCTCGCTTCCCCAACCACCGGCTGGATTTATGGCTCAGGACTTTCCTGTGCAAAGCAGCGCAGCTCATTGTCTGGAGAATAAGGAAATCTCCGCGTCGTTGGCTCGGCTCATCAACCCTTGAGGTGGCAGCCAAGCTGAAGCGGCTGACGTCTGGGGCGTGAGAAGGCTCAGAAGCCCAGGCAAGACAGGATGCAGGGGTTGCGGGAGAGAGATGAGCAGAGGAAACGTCCGCAAAGAGCGAGCCAGGAGCCAGGTTGTAAAATCCTGTCCTGGGCCTCTGATCAGAAATGGATAAAGCGAGGGTCCTTTCTAATTGTGCATCCTTGATGATTTGTGCTAGTGATGTATGGAAGTGAGAGCTGGACCATAAAGAAGGCTGATCGCCGAAGAATGGATGCTTTTGAATTATGGTGCTGGAGGAGACTCTTGAGAGTCCCATGGACTGCAAGAAGATCAAACCTATCCATTCTGAAGGAAATCAGTCCTGAGTGCTCACAGGAAGGACAGATCCTGAAGCTGAGGCTCCAATACTTTGGCCACCTCATGAGAAGAGAAGACTCCCTGGAAAAGACCCTGAAGTTGGGGAAGATGGAGGGCAGAAGGAGAAGGGGACGACAGAGGACGAGATGGTTGGACAGTGTTCTCGAAGCTACCAGCATGAGTTTGACCAAACTGCGGGAGGCAGTGGAAGACAGGAGTGCCTGGCGTGCTCTGGTCCATGGGGTCACGAAGAGTCGGACACGACTAAATGACTAAACAACAACAACAACGATTATTTGTGCTCACGGTGGTGTGAGTGGGCAATTATAACATCATCCCATTTCAATGCTATTTCAGCCTTCGATCTTTAGCAGGAAAAGTCCCGCATTGCAGGGGGTTGGACTAAATGACCCTCATGGTCCTTTCCAGCCCCGCAATTCTTTGAAATCTGTTGACTGAGCATTCATCCTGATTTAGTTTGCAGGGAAAGGATTTTAATAGCTGCAGACGCACCGCAAAGTTAAAGCACATGGGCTCTCCCGCAAAGGATATCGGGCCCTACAATTCTCAGCACCCTGGTATGCCCCGAGGAGGACCTTAAGGTCCATAAATAACAACACTTTGGAGGTCCCGAGTCTCAAGGAGGTTAGATTGGTCTCAACTAGGGCCAGGGCCATTTCAGCACTGGCCCCGACCTGGTGGAACGCTCTGTCACAAGAGACCAGGGCCCTGCGGGATTTGACATCTTTCCACAGGGCCTGCAAGATAGAGCTGTTCCACCTGGCCTCCAGCTTGGACTCACTCTGACCCCTTATATGGGATTTGGTATATAAATTTTCCCTTGGCTTTTTTGCTGGCCCATGTATAATCAGCCTGGATAGCTGGCTCGGGTGAATATCTGATGTTTCCTCCCTTTATGGTCTTGATTTATGGGCTACTACTAAAACGAGGTTGCATTTTAAGCTATATTTTAAGCTGTATTTTAATTAACTGTTTTTTTTCTTTTTTCTATTATGTTGTATTGTAATTTATATTCGGTGTTAGCCGCCCTGAGCCCAGCCCTGGCCGGGGAGGGGAGGGTATAAATTAATTATTATTATTATTATTATTATTATTATTATTATTATTATTGAACTACACTTCCCAGAATTCTTTTTTTTTGGGGGGGGGAGTCATGTGTGCTTTAAAGACACAGTGAGTATGTTGGGTCAAAGCAAGCGCTATCATTCCACACTTCCCTCCTTGCCAAAAGTCTGATTTTTAGTGGGAAGGTTTGCTGCTCAGGAGCCCCAAATCAGCTTCAATCGTGCAGCCTGAATTTGCCAGCATGTGACTGAAACCCCCCCCCCCCAAATAAGGGTGCTGTCTGGACGTGTCCTCAGTCCTCACTCAACTCCAGGGTTGGTGTGCCTGACACTGGAGAAAAATTTGCTGCAGAGGCCTTGACATCCTTCCTTGTACAGCCACCCAGCTGTTTTTTGTGGGTTTGTGTTATTTTCTTTTTCCAAAGCCAGGAGGAAATTGCCACTGGAGGGTCCTTGTAATACAAACCCATCCTTACAGGTGACAGGAAAAGATAAGGCTGAGAAATCTGGGGGCAAAAACAGAAGCTTCCTGAACTTTTGGGTAACTGCTAGCTCATTTTCTAGGCAACTGAACTGAAGAACCTTGTAAATAATCTGCTAATCTCTCTCTCTCTCTCTCTCTCTCTCTCTCTGTGTGTGTGTGTGTGAGAGAGAGAGAGAGAGAGAGAGAGAGAGATGGAGGAGCCGGCAGAAGGAGGGATACCTCCTTGCTGCTGGAATAGATTGGCTAGTATTAATCTGTGCAGTGTTTTCTAAGGGCAAATCACGGCAGCGGCTTCCCATATTTCCAAGTCACATCCCTCAAAGAATCCTGGGAGCTGTAGTTTAGCCGCTCAGAACTATAATTCCCAGCCCCCTTAACAAACTATGGCTCCTGGGATTCGCTGGAGGAAGCCATGACTGTTGAAATGCTATAAGAGCGCTTTAAATGCACAGTGCGGACATGACCTAAGTCAGCTATGTATGCCGACAGAGGGGGACATTAAGGAGCTGAAACGTGGGCCGGCCCTGTCGTTGGACAAGGTGAGGCAAACCACTCTAGGTGGCAGATTTGGGGAGGCCATTTAAGCAAGCAGCAAGCAGCCAATTATCCAGGGCCAAAGGAGATGTGACCATGTGCCCTCTCGTCCCTCCAAATCTTCCGCTGGCCAGAGGTGCCCATCCAAAACATTATTCTAAGATGTGGTGATGCTGTCAGATGAGGATCCCACACAGTACTGTGTAAGTTATTATTATAATATGATGGAACTGGCGGAAATGACTGGCAGAATCCGAGACCAGGGAGAAAAGTCGGTGGAAGAAAATTGGAAAAAGTTTAAAGACTATCTACAGAAATATTGTAAAATTAATGAATGCTAGAGAAATGTTGGAATGAAGTTATATGGCTTTAGTAGAAATATTATAAGGAACTAAGTACAGATAGGTTAACAGAGCATTAAAGGAAAAAATAAGGTTAGAATGAGTTATAGGATAGAAAACAGAGGAAGATGGAAAGGAATTGCTGAAATAATTAACAGAAGTGGAATACAAAAAGGGAGGTGTGAGGAGGTCGTGGAAATAAGTGAATGAAAGATGGGATAATGAAATTGTTTGATTTATCTTATTGTCTTTGTCTTGTTTTGTTAATTTGATGTGTTGTATTGTATTGTTTTTCTTCTTTTTAGTGTTTAAGTTTTTGGAAAAATAATAAATATTATTTTTTTTAAAAAAAGTTATTATTATAATATGAAAATTAGGGATGTTAACCAGTTAAGAATTAAGTAATTTAGTAAGGGCAATTACACTTACACTTACACTTACACACACACACACACACACACATATTAGTTTTTACAGATAATTTCCAAAAATCATATAACATACATTCTTATCTTATAGCAATGTTTTGGACTTCCATCAACTGCATCTGAAGATTTTCCAAGCTTTTCACTTAATCTGCATTTCATAATTTTCAGTATTACTCCTTCACTAATAATTCTTATCATGGTTTTCTCTGCAATAATTCGCATAATCCTCCTTACAAAACTTCTTGCAATCCTACTAGCGTAATCTGTTGACTACAATTGCTTTTCAAATAATTCATATATTTACTCCAGTCCTCTGAGAATCTCTGGTCCCGCAGGTAGGGGCACTTACCAGGTCTATACATAGCCTTCAGGCGTTCAGAGTGCTTCCCGTGTATCACAGAAACATAGAATCATAGAATTGTAGAGTTGGAAGGCACCCCAAAGGTCATCTAGTCCAACCCCCTGCAATGCAGGAATCAGCCTTCCCCAACCAGGCGCCCTGCAGTTATTTTGGACTGCAGTTTGGACTTACCATGTTGACTGGGGCTGATGGGAGTTGGAATCCAACACCCATCACCTCACCATCCTTACAATAGTGGTTTGTTGTTGTTTTCTTTCAAAGGCCGTGTTCCCTTGGAATTAATCTGTTGGCAACTGCACGCCAGCAGTGGATAGCGACACAACGTAAGTGGGTTAGGCTGTGTCCAAAACTGAGTGCGGACAGGACCCAAACCAGAAAAAGTGGGTCGCTCCTTCCCTCTCGTATCTTGGCAATGGTAGGGCGGAAGGCAGGGATGCCAACAGCAGTTGGAGTCAGTGCCAGTGACAGGCAGAAGCAGCTGATTCTAGATTGGTACCCATCTTCTCTGCCAATTTCTACTGAAACAGAGGAGGGAGAAGATGACAGGCTGCGCTACTCTCTGGATTGGTCAAAAGCAAGAGGGCAGAGAGGTGTGGGGCTGGCTGCAGGCAGGCTGAGTTTGGTAGGACAGTGCCCCCCCCCACCCCCATGGAGCAGCCTTCAGGGACTCAGACCCATGCCTGGCTTGCTAAAAGACTGTCTTTCTGATGGGTCAAAAAATAGCTACTGCTGTTGGAGTGACATACAAAGGATGAACAAGTTAAATTGGTTATGATTGATTGGGCAAGAGATGTGGGACATAATATAATGATGGAGGACTGGGAGCGGTTATGGAGGAAAGGGGTTAGGTTCACTGCATGTACAATGTTAAAGGAAGATATAATAATAATAATAATAATAATAATAATAATAATAATAATAATTTTTTATTTATACCCCGCCCTCCCCAGCCAAGGCCAGGCTCAGAGCGGCTTACAAGCAATAATAAAAACAAGATGAATGATTACAACTTAAAAACAAAAATAAAATACAACATTAAAATAATGGAACATTAAAATATTAAAATGTAGCCTCATCGCAGGAGGAGAAGGAAAAGAAAAAAGAAAGAGAGGGAGGGAGGGAATCAAATTGGCTCCAAGCCAAAGGTCAGGCGGAACAACTCTGTCTTACAGGCCCTGCGGAAAGAAATCTGATCCTGCAGGGCCCTGGTCTCATGAGAGAGAGCGTTCCACCAGGCAGGGGCCAGTGTTGAAAAGGCCCTGGCTCTGGTTGAAGACAATCTGACTTCCTTAGGGCCCGGGACCACTAGGGTGTTGTTATTTATGGACCCTGAGGCTCTCCGTGGGGCATACCGGGAGAGGCGGTCCCGTAGGTACGAGGGTCCTTGGCCGTGAAGGGCTTTAAAGGTCAAGACCAGCACCTTAAATCTGACCCTGTACTCCACCGGGAGCCAGTGTAGCTTGAAAAGCACTGGCTGAATATGCTCCCATGGCAGAGACCCCGTGAGGAGCCTCGCTGCAGCATTCTGCACCCGCTGGAGTTTCTGGGACAGCTTCAAGGGCAGCCCCGCGTAGAGCGAATTACAGTAGTCAAGCCTGGAGATGACCGTTGCATGGATCACTGTGGCCAGGTCAGGGCGGGAAAGGTAAGGGACCAACTTCATTATGAAGATGATGTATAGATGGTACTTGACCCCTGTAAAACTAGCAAAGATTTATCACAATAGTGATAACCTTTGTTGGAAATGTAAAGAAAAAGAAGGTACTTTTTTCCATATGTGGTGGATATCCCAAGGTGAAAGACTTCTGGGAGAAGATTTATAAACTGAAAGAAAATGTTGAAATATACATTTATTAAGAAACCAGAGGCCTTTCTTCTTGGAATAACAGGTTTAGAATTGCCCAAGAAAGATGTTAAATTATTTTTGTATGCCACAACGGCCGCCCAAATATTACTTACTAAAGACTGGAAAACACAAGCACTGCCAACAGTGGAAGATTGGCAGATGAAGGTGATGGACTTTTCGGAGCTAGCTGACCTGACTGGAAGAATCCGCGACCAGAAAGAAGAGGAGTTTCAAGAGGACTGGAGGAAATTCAAGGACTATTTGAACAAATATTGTAATATAAAAAATTATAAATTACTTGAAAGAAACAAATGGGCCTAGGATTAAATTAAGTTATAATTAAATAAATGGGATATAGAATGTTAAGAAAAGTGAATAAGATGGACTATAATTGGAAATTGTTTTAGTTTAATAATGATATTGGAAAGCTGTTACCTTTAATTACAAGGAAACTCAGAAGGGAGGGATTTGAGGAAGTCAACCAAGATGTTTGAAAGGTTGGATTTGTGAAGAATTAAGTTTGTTGTTATTGTTTATCTGTTTATTGTCCCCCCCCTTTCCCCCTTTCTTTTTTCTTTTTCTGTTTTTGTGCATCATTTTGCTTTGTGGTTTGTGTTATCACTGTGGAAAATCTAATAAAAATTTATTAAAAAAATAAATAGCTACTGCTGTTTGTGAGAAGTGGGAGCCAGGATTTGATCTATGGCTAGGATGGATCTTTGGGTGAGGCTTCTACCCATCTCCGCTACTCTGTGTACCCAGAGCAACAGGCCTTAGAAGAGAGAAACGAGGCGGCGTCATTCATCTAATTAAGACGGCGGAAGATGCCACCTCATCAGGAACGTGCTTAACGAGAAAACCAGAGCAAAACACAGAGGGAAGCGTTGGGAAATAGGAAAGGGGTGGTCGAGCCCATAAACACATTGTACCCTGAAGCACAATGCGGGCTTCCTCTGCGGGGACGGGGCCATTGTTCAGTGGGGGAGGCGCAATAAAGTCCCTTCCCAATTGCTCGGGAGAACAGGAAAAGCAGCAATTAAAAACTGGGCGTCGGGACAATCCGCGGTCTCCTGCGACGGAGAAAAAGGGGAATGGGGGTGGTTTAGTGGAAGGGCCCCTCTGCAAGTGTGATCGTATTACTTAAGGTCAATCCTTTCAAAAAGGAAAAGCGGTGTAGTTGGAGACAGCGGAAGGAGGGCACTTGTAGGATGAAGCACGGCATGGGAGTCCATCCTCAGGGTGAAGAGAAGTTCAGTAATGCATCTGGGGCATTAGCCAGATGGGTAAAGCCTGCCATTGCATGTCTTCTCCCAACAACCCCATTAAAACTCCGTATTTTCTCACTGTGTAGAGCATCAGCCAAGCCCTTCCTTCAGTCACAAACATGTCTGCAACGCTGGAATATCCTTCCATTCAGTAATGCTTGCCATCTCCACCTATCCCTGGTTGCAATGGGAAATTACCACACTGGCCAACAGTTCTGCAGTCATTAATATAGTGGTATCTTGGGTTAAGGACGCGGGTGGCACTGTGGGTTAAATCACAGAGCCTAGGACTTGCCGATCAGAAGGTCGGCGGTTTGAATCCCCGTGACGGGGTGAGCTCCTGTTGCTCAGTCCCTGCTCCTGCCAACCTAGCAGTTCGAAAGCACGTCAAAGTGCAAGTAGATAAATAGGTACCACTCCGGCGGGAAGGTAAATGGCGTGTCTGTGCGCTGCTCTGGTTCGCCAGAAGCGGCTTAGTCATGCTGGCCACATGACCCGGAAGCTCCCTCGGCCATAAAGCGAGATGAGCGGCGCAACCCCAGAGTCGATCATGACTGGACCTAATGGACCTAATGGTCAGGGGTCCCTTTACCTTTTACCCCGGGTTAAGTACTTAATTCGTTCCGGAGGTCCGTTCTTAACCTGAAACTGTTCTTAACGTGAAGCACCACTTTAGCTAATGGGGCCTCCTGCTGCTGCCGCGCCGCCGGAGCACGATTTCTGTTCTCATCCTGAAGCAAAGTTCTTAACCCGAGGTAATATTTCTGGGTTAGCGGAGTCTGTAACCTGAAGCGTATGTAACCTGAAGCGTATGTAACCTGAAGCGTATGTAACCTGAAGCGTATGTAACACGAGGTACCGCTGTATTCTCTCTCTCTCTCTCTCTCTCTCTCTCTCTCTCTCACACACACACACACACACACTGGGCTGTTCAAATGGGATAATGCTTGCTCTTCCTTCAAGCCTCACCTCAGTGGAACACTTTAAGAATAACCTCCCTTGTGCCATTCATTCACACAACATACCCGTATCACGGTCTCTTGCAACCTGAAGTTCCCTCAGTGGGCAATTCCTGTTCTCCTTTCCAGTCCCATTTCAATGCGACTGTATCCTACAGGTGACTACAACAGAATTTTTGTTTTTTCTGTTCTATTGTGTTCAAATTGTTGGAAAATCAATAAATATTATTTTAAAAAAAAACAGAATTCCTACCCCAGCTCCGCTGCTGCACCTACCCCCATTGCAATGGGACATTTCTCCTGGCGGGAGTGCATGCCGCATTCTCCTGTTGGAGAAGATCCCTGCCTGCAACAGATCTCCCTTTGGGATCATTCGCCTTTCACAACCCAGCAAAACCATCTCAAGACACAATGCCTATTTGCCCTCCAATTCCATTGCAAAGGAATGTTCCACCGCCAGCCAAGGATGTTTTGCAACAGAGCATTCACGGCTGCAATGGAGTGTCCCTGAAATGGGCAGAGGCCGCACTTCCCTTCCTCCTAATGGAACTGGTCCACAGGGCATCTCAAACTGGGGTCCGTGGACCACCAGTGGCCTGTGAGCATCATTCAGGTGGTCTGGAGTGGGCCTGCAAAAATACAATTAAAAATCATACAACATCTAGTGCAGTGCATGATAAGTGCTACAAAAGGCAGGCAAATTCATAAGTGTCCGCCAAGACCAGGGGTCAGCAAACTTTTTCAGCAGGGGGCCGATCCACGGTCCCTCAGACCTTGTGGGGGGCTGGACTAGTTTTTTTGGGGGGAGGGAATGAGTGAATTCCTATGCCCCACACATAACCCAGAGATGCATTTTAAATAAAAGGACACATTCTACTAATGTAAAAACACGCTGATTCCTGGACTCTCCGCGGGCTGGATTTAGAAGGCAATTGGGCTGGATCTGGCCCCCAGGCCTTAGTTTGCCCACCCATGGCCAAGACCCTCAGCGATTTTCAAGCACTCTGGGGGACAAGGGCAGTTTGGGAACCATCAGAACAGAACATTTTCTTATTGTCATTGACCAACAGCTTATTGTCATTGACCAACCACAGTGGTACCTCGGGTTAAGTACTTAATTCGTTCCGGAGGTCTGTACTTAACCTGAAACTGAAGCACCACTTTAGCTAATGGGGCCTCCTGCTGCTGCCGCACCGCCGGAGCACAATTTCTGTTCTCATCCTAAAGTGAAGATCTTAACCTGAAGCAATATTTCTGGGTTAGCAGAGTCTGTAACCTGAAGTGTATGTAACCTGAAGCGTATGTAACCCGAGGTACCACTGTACTGGGTAATAGAATCATAGAATTGGAAGGAACCCAGAGGTTCATCTGTTCTAAACCCCTACAATGAAGGAATCTCAACTAAAGCATCCCTGACAGATGGCCATCCAACCTCTGCTTAAAAACCTTCAAGGAAGGAGAGTCCACCACCTTCCAAGGCAGTCTGTTCCACTGTCCTAACACTTCTTACTGGCTGAAAGTTCTTGTCATGGGTCAGGAGTCAGCTTCACCTGCTGAACAGCAGCCTGAAGGAGAAGAAGGCGGAATGATGCCACCCGCAGCTGATCAGCCTTCAAGAACAGGAGAAGGCACTGATGAGAACCAGCTGGCTTCAGCCTTCTTAAGCAGAGCTCTCAGCAGCAGTCAGATGCTGGAAACAATGCCTATGGTTCCCGGCCCTGCCTTGCTGTTTCCTGCTCTCCATCTAGACCCTTGTCTCTGTGATCATCTGGATCCCCTGACCTCTGGGTCCCCTGACTTCATATGTGGATTCTGCTCTCAGGCAAGTGTTACTTGGAGACTCCTATCCCCTTCTAGATCAGCAACAGGACCCGAACAGGGCTATGACAGCTCTTCCTGATGTTTAGTCAGAACCTCCTTTCTCATAACTTGACACCCATCGCAATGCATTACCTGCTGCAGGAGGTGGGGAACGTGTGTGCCTTCAGATGTTGTCATATTACAACTCCCATCACCTTTGATGACTGCTGGGAGCTGGAGTCCAAGAACATCTGGAGGGCCACAGGTTTCCCCAGCCCCGATCTACCGAACATTTCCTTGTTGTCCTAGGATATTCTTCTCCTTAGCCACCGCTGAGACCTTCCCTGTCTACCTTGTGGCCGCCCAAGTACTCACCCTGACCAGACGGGCTCTCTTGACCAAATCGTTAAGCTTCCTCAGGGCAGAATTCCGGGGCAGGTTCTGGATGTCCGTGAACAAGTCCTGCTCCTCGAGCTCAAATAACCGTCGGTTATCGGAGATCATCAGGGGCTCCGACCAGAAGGACCCGATGTAGACACGCAGCACCTCGGGCGTGTTGAACACTTTGCCCAGCGACCACATGAGGGCGCCGTAGACCCGCATCAGCTGCTGCGTCTCCACCATGTCGGCCTTGTTCAGGACCACCCGGATCTTGTCCTCGTTGCCCTTGAGGGCCCGGATGGCCTCCGAGAACTCGTCTGAGATCTCCAGCTTGTGGGCGTCAAAGAGGAGGATGATGAGGTCCACGCGCTCGGCAAACCACTGCAACACCGCCGGGAAGTCGTAGCCTGCGGAGGAGAAGAGAGAGCCTTGTGGAATAATGTGGGATGTGAAACACAGAGCAGTCAAGTACAACATCCCTAGAGTGGACATAAAAAGGGGATGTCTGGACCAGCCAGTCAGAACTTCCTGTTTCCTTCTAGGCTGGGACAGACTTCCCCTACATGTGATCAGAGGTGGGCGTGGCCTCACCTGTGGAGGTAACAAAAGCATAGGACTGGCCGCCATCTCTCTTTCTGACTACATTCGTCGAAGAAGCAACATCAGCTTAGCCTAAGATGCTCTCTTGGCTTCCAGCCAAGAGAGGTCAAAGGGACTATCTCTTTATGGGATAGATTGCAGGTACATTACTTTTGTAACTTAAGTCTGCCTTCTGGGATCCACCTGTGAACAGAATGAGTGAGTGAGTACAAGTGGTACCTCTGGTTGCGAACGGGATCCGTTCCGGAGCCCCATTTGCAACATGAGCTATTCGCCACTTCTGCGCATGCGCGTGACGTCATTTTGAGCGTCTGCGCGAGTGGTGAAACCCGGAAGTAACCCTTTCCGGTATTTCTGGGTCCCCGCGGGACGCAACCTGAAAAGATTTAATTTGAAGCAAACGTAACAAAAGGTATGACTTTAAACTCTTTTTATACTTTTATAGAAGGCTGTGTTGTGTCTATTTCCTTTTACGAGGGACTAAAGGGGAAATTACCAGGTAACTTATTTTAGAGGCTTTAGCGAGTCCGAGCAAATGCATCCGCTGTGCAAGTTTAAAAAGGGGAATGTTACTCTGCTAAATTGTAGAACTTGTTAACACAAGTTGGAAAGGATATAATCAAACAATATATCCTCTCCTGCATCCCTGAACATTCCCACAAATAAGAGGTAATTTTGCACACACACGCCCCCTGCAAAGTGGCATCTTAGCTCACTTTCAGGGAAAGAAGCAGCTTGAGGACGGTTGCTGCCATTTTTATTTTTAAAATGTTATTTATGCTTTTCAGGTTTATACATTTCACTGATTTTACAATCATTTTAATATTTCAAAACTCAACTTTCTTCCCCCTCTTTCTGAGGTTCTTTAAATTTATTTTTAGTATTTTCTGAATATACAAATTAACTTAATTTGCTCATTCATCTGCTTTAAATATATACTCTTATCAAACTACAGGTTAATACAATAATCCTGCCAATGTTCTTATCCATTTACAATTTATCTGTAAATATTCAATCAACCGTTTCCATTCTTTAATAAAAAGTTTGTTATCTTGATTTCTTATTCTTCCAGTTGCCATTTCTGCATATTCCATAAGTTTTTGTATCCATTCTTCCTTTGCTGGGACTGCTGCTTCTTTCCATTTTTGTGCGAGTAACATTCTTGCCATAGTAGCATACATAAATAAATTTCTATACAATTTAGGTAGTTCTGTCCCTATAATTCCCAAAAGGGTTGCTGCCATTTTTGAAGCTTCAGCTGCGTACAGACTGTGCCTTTAAGGCACATGACTCTCCCAAAGAATCCTGGGAATGGTAGTTTGCCCCTCAACAGAACAACAATTCCCAGGACCCTTAATAAACTACAGTTCCCAGAATTCTTTGGGGGAAGCTATGTCCTCTAAATGTGCATGGAATGTGCTTTAGATCTATGGTGTGGAATTGCATCTTGCCAGACCAATGGCTGTTGTCTTACTACTGTCTGCAAATCCATAGCTGGCTGTGGATTTGATAGGAGTCTTTTCGCACCCTACCCAGAGCCACCAGGGATCAAATCTGGGGCCCCTCTGTTTTTTTCCTTCGCTCTTTGTCTCCACTCTTAATAAAGCTTCTTAATTTAGAATCTAGGGTTTGACTGTAAACATTAAGACATCTCAAGGATTTTTGCATTGCGTGCCAAACTGCTGTTTCGTACTACAGTATGGAATGGGTTGAACTCGCTCAGTGGCAAGTCCTTGGGAGTTAGCTGGTGTTTTCTACCACCACAGACAGAAAGTTGCCAGTCTTGTTCCCCTTGGTCAAGACACTAAAAGGCAAGGATAGCCAATGTAGCGCCTTCCATATGCTTTGGACTACAGCTCCCATGATCCCTGACCATTCATCATGCTGGCTGGGGCTGATGGGATTTGGAGTCTAACACCACCGCCATGTTGGCTGCCCCTGATCTAAAGTGAACTGAGGGGTAATGTCAGCAATTAAGTACAGTGGTACCTTGATTTACGAACTGAATCTGTTCCAGAAGTCCATTCTTAAACCAAGGCGTTCTTAAACCAAGGCGTGCTTTCCCATAGCAGCGAGGGACTCAATTTACAAATGGTGGGATTGTAATGAAGTTAAAAAAGTTTTGAGAAATGATATACAATGAACTGAAGAAAATGTTCCATCTAACATTTGTTAAGAAACCTGAAGCATTTTTGTTAGGGATTGTAGGAAAAGACCTGCCAAGGAAGTTGAAAAATATCTTCATGTACGTGACAACAGCGGCAAGAGTCTTAATAGCACAAGGATGGAAGAACGAGGAAATCCCGACTAAAGAACTATGGCAAGAGAAACTGATGGACTACGCAGAATTGGCAAAATTGACACATAAACTACGGGACAAGGATAACTGTGACTTTAAAGATGAATGGGAACCCTTTACAAAGTATTTAAAGATGCAACAAGGTGAACTGGACTCCTTGGCAGGTTTTGAATAAACACTCGCAAACTTTTTATTGACAATAACCAGTCAGATATATTAATGATCATTACAGTTTTGTAACATGCAGAGAATAGCAGTTGTAGAGAAACCAGAGATTGGAGCTGAGGGAAGTCGGGGGGGGGGAGGGGAGGGGGGTTATTATATGGGAGGGAATGGGGGGGGGGAATCAAGGATGATATGTTTTAAGATAATATGTTTTGTTTAAACTCTATCTGTGCACAATTATATACCCCTCGGTCATGTCCCCTGCTCCCAGCAACCTGGGTCCCCCTCTTCCAGTCCAGCAAAAGCAGTCCGCCCCCCCCCCAGCCTCTGTACCGCACTCTCCTTCTCAGCCCCCTCCCTCTTCTCCATCCCTGCCAAATCTAAACAAGCTCTGCAGCTTTCGTAGCTGTTGGATCAGAGCCACCCCTCTCAGCCTCTCTCACCCGCCTCTTGGCAGCCGAAGTTCAGAAGGGCTTGTTCCACAGCACCAAAAAAGGAAACCGAGCCGTTCCATAGGAAAGTCTGAGCAATGAGCCCTCATTGTTCTGACCGATTAAAGAAAAATAATAAAGATGGGAGATCTTAAATAAAAGAGGCAGGGTTGGCCGGCCGCGCAGCCTTATCTTAGAGAAGCACCGGCGGGAAAAGGGGTTGCCAGAGGTCACCCGAACGATGGCGCATGCATTGCCCAAGTGGAATATGCTGCTCCGGATTGGTGTCACAAGACAGAGATACAGAAGGTCAAGACAAAGGAACCATTCTCTGCTCCCTGGTTTGCCCCCGGGGCAGGCCTGGAAAGGATGGCGGGACAGGGTTTAAGCCCATGTGAGCTCTGGCAGAGGAGCAAGGGTCCCTTTTTGAACATCGCAGCTCAGCCCCCTGGAATATGCGCTACAATAACAAAAGGTGAAAGTGCCCCTGAGTGTGTGCAGAGTGCATTTTGCCTCACCACTGAGTAGCTAGAGCCAGGCTGTACTGGGCAGGGGGGCCTGCCCCATTATTTAAGGAATTAACTACTGCAGCATGGGAGTCCAGGCAGGAAACTGACAGTCATGGCTAATGGGCCCTTGTTACCCTTGTCAGCTACTGCATTTCCGGTGAATTTTACAAGCCACATAAACTCTCCCTTCTTGCACACAAGAGCGGGATTAAAATAAATATATATATTGAGATTGCCTGCAAATTACAAGTTTACAAAGTGCTGCTTTTTGCAGGTTTCTTTCCTTTCCCCTTCTGGTTTATTAGCACACCAGTGATAAGGGGCCAACTTTCCAGGCAGCCAGCCCATGCCAGCGCTTGCCCTCTGGGTGATAGCAGGCTCCAGGGTTCTGGCCAGATCCAGACCCAATTGATGAGCAGCCTGTGGCTGGCAGAGGAAGAGATGGCCCAGGAGAAGAGTGGGTGTTTAAGGAGCGAATGTATCTCTTTGGAGAAGGAATTTCCACCCTTCCCTGGTTTATTCAGTAAGGCAGAGGAGGTGGTGTGAAAACAAATGTTTTTAAGTCTTTCCTGCAAAATGTAACTGACTCAATGGAATCTGAGCAGACAGACACACCCAGTGCTGCCAGAGGCACAAGAATTCTCATGCATGACTCCTGGTGCGAGATGTGAGGCTATTTGCATTCCTGTACATGGAAGTTGGAGATTTCAGGGCCACTCAACGCACCATTAACTGGTGGGCAGTGCCCCCGAAGCTTATGGCATCACTACTTTCAAGCAGAGGTGCTGCCAAAGTTCGGAAAGGCCTGCTTCAAAATGCCAGTGTGGTGCAGTGGTTAGAGCGCTGGACTAGGACCTGGGAAAACTCGGGTCGAATTCCCACTCGGCCACGAAGCTCACAGGGTGACCTTGGGACAGTCGCTTCCTCTCAGCCTCCCTTACTTCACAGGCCTGTGGGGGTTAAATGAGGAGAGGGAGAGGACCATCTACGCCACCGTTAGCTTCTTGGAGAAATAAGCAGGATATAAATGCAACAAATAAGTTGTCCGATTCGCAACAACTCAGGTGTATTTAGAGACTGAGCACCTGATCCCTGAGGTCTTCTCCAACTGAGACGGTACAAGAAGATTCTCTGTGTGTGCGGCCAGACTGAGTGTCGCTGCTTTGGATGATATTCTCATTGTTCACTGTAAGATTATATGACCAGACCATGTAACCGACCAGCTTTTGACTTGGCAAATACAGTGGTACCTCGGGTTAAGAACTTATTTTGTTCCGGAGGTCCGTTCTTAACCTGAAACTGTTCTTAACCTGAGGTACCACTTTAGCTAATTGGGCCTCCCACTGCTGCCGCACGGCCGCGCGATTTCTGTTCTCATACTGAAGCAAAGTTCTTAACCTGAGGCACTATTTCTGGGTTAGCAGAGTCTGTAACCTGAAGCGTCTGTAACCCAAGGTACCACTGTATCTTCTCAATATGGGCCAGCTCTTTCCATTTTTTCTCACTGCCCTCCATCCACATCTTTGTTTCCAGGCTCGTTGTTTCGGGAGAAGGGTAGGGGTGACCTATAGTTCCTAAGAGTCAATACCGTAAGGTGCATTTGTGCGGCACCATTCAATATCATTTGCTGTGAATCGCAGGTGAGGAAGAGTACAGTGGTACCTTGGGTTACAGACGCTTCAGGTTACAGACTCCGCTAACCCAGAAATAGTACCTCAGATTAAGAACTTTGCTTCAGGATGAGAACAGAAATCGCGCAGTGGGAGGCCCCATTAGCTAAAGCGGTACCTCAGGTTAAGAACAGTTTCAGGTTAAGAATGGACCTCCAGAACAAATTAAGTTCTTAATCCGAGGTACCACTGTACTGTTGTGGTCAGATCCTGGTTTGGGGCTTTCGACAGACCTCTGGTTGGCTACTGTGAGAGCAGGCTCCTTTTAGGCGCTAACATTATCTGCTGGGATGAACTCTTGATACAATGCTAATAATCTGGATCCTGCCAGGCTTGTGGAATCGCCAACAGCAGCAAATTTCAGCAACCAGCAGAGCAGCCACGATGGACCAAAGCGCACCAGTCATAGCTCAGAGATGGAACATCCATTTTTCATGCAGAAGGCCTTTGGTTCAACCTACTGCCTCTCTAGGTAAAGGCTGGCAATGGCCCTTTCCTAAAATCCCGGAGAGCCATGCTAGGAAATACTGACTCAGTAGAAGCCAGCTTCCTATGTGCAACTTTGTGCATGAAACAAAGCACTGTTGTGCGGTTAAACCAATCAATTTGCGTCGGTTATAATTGGAAGCTTGTGGTTTTGCATCGTGGCGTCGTGTCTCGCTGGGTTTTGCTAATGAACAAATCCAAACCCCGATTGGGAAACCCAGTTAACTTTGGCGCATAGGCCAGCAAACGGCTTGGATTAGATTGCCAAATTAGCAGGGGAAAGGGGAGTTTCCCTCCACCAAGATGCTTAAGAAATACCAAGCAAATTCTGAACTGAACAGGGAAGGGTTTCCAGCAGAAGAGGGAGTGTGGAATGTGCTGGGTTGGCTGGAGAGGGGGATGGTGGTGAACCGCCCCCCCCCCTCGCCCCAGCTTTTATTGCTGTTGCTGCATCTAGAGTTGTTTTGCAAAAGAGAAGCAGGGGAACCCTGCATATTTTTATACAAAGATAAGAAAGAACACGGCAGCCCTGCTCATCCAAGGCATTTTTCTTTGGTTTGTGCAATCACTGATACTGTGTTGTTATGTACTGAGTTGAATAGGATCCAAATTGCAGCAGTCTGATTGGTCCTAGAACAACAGGATTCAGAATGCAGCAGTCTGATTGGTCCTAGAACAATAGGATTCAGAATGCAGCAGTCTGATTGGCCCTAGAACAATAGGATTCAGAATGCAGCAGTCTGATTGGTCCTAGAACAATAGGATCCAGAATGCAGCAGTCTGATTGGTCCGCAGGAGCCACCCAATCCAACTCCAGGTGGAAGTGAATCCGCAACCTGATTGGCCTACAGGAGAATCCCGGAATTAGCCGATCACGTGGGGTCCATTGTGTAAATAATGTATATAAAGCAGACATCTTGGGGGAACTTCCATTCCTCACTACTATGAGCTGAATAAAGAGCATGAAATTCACACTTAACTCCGAGTGTGTTTTAATTTGTTGGAAGCTGCCCAGAGTGGCTGGGGTAACCCAGTCAGATGGGAGGCATATAAATAAATTGTTGTTGTTAGTGATGGTGGTGGTGCAGGGAGAACCAGATATGAGGCAGCAGAGGAAGAAGTCCAGGGCCCCCAGTAAGCAGAATGAGTAGGAGGGCACCCCAACCTGCAGCAAAGACTGCCTTACCATAGTTTGACTGCTTGCACACACCATGCATTTCAAGCACGTGACCTCCCCCAAAGGATCCTGGGAACTGTAGTTTGATAAGGGTGCTGGGAATAGCGGCTCTGCAAGGGGGAAACTACAGCTCCCAGGGTTATTTGGGGGGAAGCCATGCACACGAAATGTGCTTTAAGTCTACAGGGCGTGTGCAGCCTGCGCCTTGGTGCCTGGCAAAAAGGAATCTTTGTATATTAGAAAGATTATGAAGCCCACAGGTGCGTTTCCAAAGCCAGATGGTTGCCTTTTGGAGCTTTTGAGCGAAGGCTGGCAGCGGCAGCGGCGCATCCCCGAGAAAGAGCCGTAATTCACTTTGAAGGGCAGGCGGCTGACTCCGGCTTGTGCCGACTCGCTGCGAGGATTTCCTCTCTGCTCAGGAATCCCATGGATCCCTGGCTGTGCGCAGGAAAGGGAGCCAAGGAGCAGGGTGGGATCTAGACAGGCCCAGGCTGGCAAAACCATAGCACGGAAGGAGAAGCTTTTACCATCCGTGGGGGAGAAATCTGTCCTGATCCGCAATTGGGTTTTTTGTGTGTTTTTTAAGGGGGAAGATTTTAAAATACTAACAGCTCCTCATGTCTGAAGGCAGAGAACAAGAGGCCCGTGCTTTTATTGTGGTGAAATCTAGGCCTGTGTAAGTTGTAAACAATGACAAACCTAGACAGCATCTTAAAAAGCAGAGACATCACCTTGGCAACAAAGGTCCATATAGTTAAAGCTATGGTTTTCCCAGTAGTGATGTATGGAAGTGAGAGCTGGACCATAAAGAAGGCTGATCGCCGAAGAATTGATGCTTTTGAATTCTGGTGCTGGAGGAGACTCTTGAGAGTCCTATGGACTGCAAGAAGATCAAACCTCTCCATTCTGAAGGAAATCAGCCCTGAGTGCTCACTGGAAGGACAGATCCTGAAGCTGAGGCTCCAATACTTTGGTCACCTCATGAGGAGAGAAGACTCCCTGGAAAAGACCCTGATGCTGGGAAAGATGGAGGGCACAAAGAGAAGGGGACGACAGAGGACGAGATGGTTGGACAGTGTTCTCGAAGCTACCAGCATGAGTTTGACCAAACTGTGGGAGGCAGTGGAATACAGGAGTGCCTGGCGTGCTCTGGTCCAGGGGGTCACGAAAAGTTGGACACGACTAAATGACTAAACAACAACAAAGTTGTAAGCTGCAAGCAGCCCAGGAACCTCATGCATTTTGGTGCTTTAGGGAATTGTAGTTTCTGAGGTCCCCCCAGCTGGAGGTTTGCTGAGCTTTGCAGAATGTCATACCATACATGGTTTAGGGAATGGTTTGCATCCAATTCAGTGGTAGGCTGCAAACTTCTGCAGCCTTGAGTTAGGCCGCTAGATGATGTCGGAACAGCTACTGGCCAATGGGATTTCCCCTCCCCCACAAGAGCAAACATAAAAGAGGGGGTGTTGGGGCTCGAGGAAATTGGGGCTTTCTAGCTCAGAAGCCCTGCTTGGCAATCCTAAACATACACAAATTCACTAGCAAGGGAGGTGTACTCCACACATGCTCAGAAGCACTCTTTATTATCAGCACCACCTCATGTACCATTTGGGAACCAAAGGTTTGCACTGAAAGGGAGCTCCGTTTCAAACTAAACCATCACGCCAACCAAATTTGAAGTGGAGCTGCCTTAGAATGCAAGCATTTAATTATTAAATGGATCTTGCGGCGTTGTTCCAGCCTGTCTATAACATGTTTGTGCAAAGTTTGGCTGGGCAGGTTCAGGAGGATGAGTTGGGACAGAGGTCGCCAAACGGAATGTGCCACCGATTCAGAATCAGATTATTGTGGAGGGCTATCATATAGTAGTAGGAAAATAATAACAGTAATACAGTGGTACCTCGGGTTACATACGCTTCAGGTTACATATGCTTCAGGTTACAGACTCCGCTAACCCAGAAATAGTGCTTCAGGTTAAGAACTTTGCTTCAGGATGAGAACAGAAATCGTGCTCCGGCGGCATGGCAGCAGCAGGAGGCCCCATTAGCTAAAGTGGTGCTTCACGTTAAGAACAGTTTCAGGTTAAGTACGGAACCTCCGGAACGAATTAAGTACTTAACCCGAGGTACCACTGTACTGGTAATATTATCTCCCTGCAAGCAGAAAGTTAGCACGCATCAGAAAAAGAGCCACTGTGGTGCAGTGGTTAGAGTGTTCGACTCGGACCTGGGAGAGACCAGGGTTCGAATCCTCACTCGACCATGAAGCTCACAGGCTGACCTTGGGCCTCCCTCCCTCTCTGCCTAACCTACCTCACAGGGTTGTTTTGTTGCTTAACTGAGGAACCACAGAAACCACCTTGAGCTCCTTGGAGAGAAAAAGGTAGGCTAGAAATGCAATAAATAAATAAGGAAGGCAAGAAGACGAAAGTAGAAGCTCAGAGCTCTTGTCTGCTATGCTGGTTTTCTGTTTGCAGGGAGCTTTCTGGTGCCCTGCAGATGTTTTGGACTACAATTCCCATCAGCCCCAGCATGCTGACTGATGAGGCTGCTGGGAATTGTAGCGCAAGGCACCTCCAGAGCACCAAGTTGGCGAACAGCTGCTGTAAAGGGCCATTCGGAAGCACTTATAATGATTTTTTTGCCTGCTGTTGCCATTGCATGGCTTGTAATTTTTATGACTTCTTCGATTTCTGTGCATAGCTGTCAACTTACAGATTTGAAAATAAGGGACCAGCAGCCTCGAAAATAAGGGATCAGCAGCCAAAATAAGGGATTTTCCAGGCACAGGTATGTTCAACTTCTGAGCCCTTCCAAGCCAAAGACGGAAAGCCCAGCCAGCAGCCAAACAAAGCCTCATCAATAAGGGACAGCAGCAGGACATGGCGCTGGGATAAGGGACTGTCCCGCCAAATAAGGGACGCTTGACAGCTATGTTTCTGTGTAATTTGCATGGCAAAGTCCATTCTACCACCTCGTTCTGCTGCAAATACAAAAACACAACGAAACCCAAGAGGCAGCACACCAGCCGGAGGACGAGGGGAGCTGGGGAAGAAGGCCTTGCGACAGAGGGCTGCCCGTGCATTTTGTTTTGCATGCCAGGCTAATCCCAGCGCTTGCTCGGCCCACCCAGTTTCCTAGTTACAACTACCTTTGTATCTACACATGTGCACGCTTTGTGCTGCCCTGGAAATGTGCCCTTCCTCCTCCGTCCCTGGCATGCAGGAGACATTCCTCAGCGTTTCGCAAGTGAATCATCTGTGCGCTCCGTTGCCATGGAGCAAGGGCTGCTCTTTCCCACAGACACACGACTGGCGGAGGATCCTCTCCCGCTCCCATTTGTATCACAAACTCTCTTAAAAGTCCCTCCCGGGGCCCCCGGTCAGGGAGGCAGGCTTCTGTGCTAGCTAGGCCTCACCCAGGCTTCGGCCTGCAAAGTCATAATGGCCCATGGCAGGGGCGGAGGGCCGTATGTCCTCCTGGGACAACTTTGAGGGCCACAGGCCAGTGGCGCCTCTAAGTTTAGCACTCTCTGGAACTCAGGGCTTCACACACTGGCGCCATTCAGTGACCAAGGGGCTGCCCACCATTGAGGGGGCTTTATGGCAAGGGTTGGGGGAGAATAACCATTGGCCTAAGAAGCAGCTGCTGTAGAAAACTTACTTCACCCTTCACTGCTAGAAAGAAGACACATTAGAACTCTTAACTAATGCTGGAGGGTTTTTTGTTTGTTTTCCCTTTCCCTCCCAATCCCCTTTCCTTTCATGTCATGCCTTTTCACACAGCAAGCCCGAGCGGCAAGGGCAGTCTTATTCCCAATCACTGCAAGCCTTTCTGGCTCACGAGTGGGGTCAAATAAATGACTATAAAAATGAATGAATGAGGGGATCAGATGGATACACTAGGAGGCCTAGGTTTGTTGGAGGGGCTGCCACCTACGATCAAATCCAGTGGTTGCGAAGCCCTCTAGAACACGACACCTAGCCTAGAGCAAAGGATCAAAGACTGTGGTCAGTGGGCTTCATCCAGGTGGTCCACAGCCACCGCCACATTGATTTTTAACTGCAATTTTTTAATTGCTTCTTTTGTTTCCCATATTGCATTTCATTGCACTCTACCATTCAAATCTGACAGAATGCAGATTCTAAGACTAGAAAATGGAATACAGTATAATAAATGAAAGCAGCAATAGAAATGCAATAGAAAAAGCAATAAGTGCTCTGCCGTTTTCAAGTACAGTGGTACCTCGGGTTACATACGCTTCAGGTTACACACTCCACTAAGCCAGAAATAGTGCTTCAGGTTAAGAACTTTGCTTCAGGATAAGAACAGAAATCGTGCTCCGGCAGCGCAGCGGCAGCAGGAGGCCCCATTAGCTAAAGTGGTGCTTCAGGTTAAGAACAGTTTCAGGTTAAGTATGGACCTCCGGAACGAATTAAGTACTTAACCCAAGGTACCACTGTAGTCTTGAGTTGGGGGGAATTGAGCATAGCTGTCAACTTTTTCCTTTTTTTAAGGGAAATTCCCTTATTCCGAATAGGATTCCTTGCAAGAAAAGGGAAAAGTTGACAGCTATGGAGTTGGGGAACCCCCACTCTAGAGGACCTAGTGCAGGGACTGATGAGAGTTGTAGTTCAAACCATATGGAGGGCACCAGGTTGGAGAAGCCTTGCCCAGGGATGCTGGACTAACACCCTGTTGCAGGAGAAAGCTCACAACCGCACACCATGCTACAGGGGTCAGAGGAGTGTCTCGTCCACAGGAACGCAGATTCTTGGCTAACGCTCCCAAATAAACAAGGCCATTTGTCCAGGGCCCACAGCCTTTCCCAGTTTCCACTTCGCCCTGTTCGCCGAGGCGGGGTCTATCCAGATTCCCCACATACTTTCATGTATAAAATGTGGAAAGAATGCAGCAGACCTGTGCTATCTCTGTACAGGGTTCTCCCGGGGGTGCCCCGGCAACCAAAGAAATATTGGGAGAGAGAGAGAGCTTGAGAGAGGCCTGCCTCTCAGCGGGAATTAAAAGCCACCCTGAACTGACCCATCCCACGCAGTGGAAGGCCAAAGTCCCAAGGGGAGACGAGTACAGGAATGTGAGCGTCACAGGAAAAGCATGAAAGGGCTCTCCCCACCCTATCCTCTCGGGGGGGACTTTGCGGGGAACATGTCTGTCCCAGTTGTATAGGAAAAGAGCTAGATGCCCCATCCCCATAGCTGTCAACTTACAGATTTGAAAATAAGGGACCAGCAGCCAAAATAAGGGATCAACAATTACTTTTATAAAATACATATTTTGTTGCGTGCAAATGGCTTTAGATACCTATTAGGTCCATAAATTACCATATAGCATATATTTAACACAAAAAAACATCAACAATTTGTTGTTGACAAGACAAGTTGGACATAGAAAGGGCCCCATTACCTTCAGTAGCTTATTTAAGAGACATCATCAATAAGGGACAGCAGCGGGACATGGCGCTGGAATAAGGGACTGTCCCGCCAAATAAGGGACGCTTGACAGCTATGCCCATCCCTGGGAGCAAGGCCCACTAAATTCTCCCTGCAAGCAAAGGCTCCTTGCAGCTTTCTCTTCTGTTCATCCCCAACAACAACAAAAAGCCCCTGTGGAATAGGAGCTCCTCCAGGGTCACTGTTTATCCCGCATTCACAGGCCCCTCCTAGTGTCCAAATTTTCCAGGGACAGTTCCGGATTTACAGAAGCCATCCCGGTTTCTGATTCAGTCCCGGAACGTCCTGCGTTTTCCTTAGGACGTCTCCCGTGACGTGCGTCCTTCATACACCCTTCAGACATTTTTGGCATCCCCTTTCCCCATCTCCCCTGGTGCATGCTCACATCTGAACTCAAGAGCGCCCTCGACACACCTTGGAATGAGGATAGCACATCTTCTCTCTCGCTCTCTGGCACATTCTGTTCCCGCTCAATAGCTGCCTTTGTAACCAATTCCTTCCTACATCTGCTAAATGTTTCCTTGCATTTTGTAATCTTTGTGTGTGCGCGTGCGTGTGTTTAGCTTGTGTGGCCAACGCAATTTGCCTAGCGGGTCGTGAGATGCACCCTACTGCCCCTTCTGCAAAGCCCCCACTCTCTGGACCTCTTGACAGCAGCCTTGCAGAAAAAAGCCAAACGCAGCTTATATGCCAAATATGGGGGCCAGTTGTGGACTCTATAAACAGCCTCGGTTTTGCCATCTGCCTGGGAATGCAAAAAAACCAGGAGGTTGCATATCAAGCAAAGTACAGAAACAAAAGTATACCCTCCAACATTTCTCCAATATAAATAGGGGTGTCCTCTTCAATCATCATAATTTTATTATTTATACCCCACCCATCTCACTGGGACGCCCCAGCCACTCTGAGTGGCTTCTAACATATATAAAAACTTAAGAAAACTTTGAACTTAAAACAAAACAAAACCTATACAGGGCTGTCTTCAGATGTCTTCTAAAGGTTGTATATAGGTTTGGCTCAGGGATCACATAACTCCATACCCTCCAACGTTTCTCCGATGAAAATAGGGATGCCCTAACGACAAGTGGGATGTTCTGGGATCAAATCAGAAACTGGGACGGCTTCTGTAAATCTGGGACTGTCCTTGGAAAATAGTGACAATAGTAGGGGCCTGTGAATGCTGAACAATGGTCTGGTATCCAACTAGCTTTTACTCAGAGTAGATCCATTGAAATTAAGGCACCTAAGTTAGTCGTATTCATTGATTCCAATGAGTCTAACATGAGAGGATGCCATCTTGTCCTTTGACACAAGCAGTAAATTCTCTGTGGACCTGACTTCACATTACCTCTTGACTCTCATCTTCTGTTCACACAATCAGTGTGTGTGTGTGTGTGTGTGTGTGTGTGTGTGTTATGGTTGTGTTGTGAACTCTGTCCCCCTTCCCTTGGCCCTGCTCATGTTGACAGAAGCCTGACATGCAGAAATATAGCAGGAAAAACCTTGTCCTCTCTAGTGGTGATAAAGCCTAGTGGAAACTTTATTTGCTTACAATACTTATTTAACTGCCCTTCCTCAAAAGATTCCAGGGCGGCGCACAAAGAAGTGCGAATGAAATCTGCACAATGATAACGGAAGGGCAACGAGACAACTTTTAAAAAACCTCCCAAATCTAAAAACAGAATAAAACACCATTAAAAAACAACAACCCTCCATTGGCAATCTTAAAAGGCAGAGGCTGTGTACACACCATACATTTAAAACACCCCCTAAAAAAATATCATGGGAACTGTAGTTTACCCCTAGTGGTGCTATAGTTCCCAGCACCCTTAACAAACTACAGTTGCCTGGATTCTTTGTGGGGAGGGGAATGTGCTTTAAAGTCACTGGGAGGAAAAACAATTAAGGTCACTGAGTTGGCCCATAAAAATACAAAATCTGTACAGTGGTACCTCGGGTTAAGTACTTAATTCATTCCGGAGGTCCGTTCTTAACCTGAAACTGTTCTTAACCTGAAGCACCACTTTAGCTAATGGGGCCTCCTGATGCCACCGTGCAGCCGGAGCACGATTTCTGTTCTCATCCTGAAGCAAAGTTCTTAAGCCGAGGTAATATTTCTGGGTTAGTGAAGTCTGTAAACTGAAGCATATGTAAAGGTAAAGGGAGCCCTGACCATTAGGTCTAGTCGTGACCAACTCTAGGGTTGCGGCGCTCATCTCGCTTTATTGGCCGAGGGAGCTGGCGTTTGTCCACAGACAGCTTCCGGGTCATGTGGCTAGCATGACTAAGCCACTTCTGGCGAACCAGAGCAGCGCATGGAAACGCCGTTTACCTTCCTGCCCGAGCGGTACCTATTTATCTACTCGCACTTTGACATGCTTTTGAACTGCTAGGTTGGCAGGAGCAGGGACCAAGCAATGGGAGCTCACCCCGTTGCGGGGATTCGAACCGCCGATCTTCTGATCGGCAAGTCCTAGACTCTGTGGTTTAACCCACAGCACCACCCACGTCCCAAAGCATATGTAACCTGAAGCATATGCAACCCGAGGTACCACTGTATTAGGTAAATATCTTTATTAGGGCAACTCTAACCAAAAAGGGCTCATTCACATTTCCTTTTTGCCACTGTTTCTCGGCACAGGTCTGCGATTTGTAGGGATGTTGCTGGGTTTTTGTGTCCCTGGGGAAACCTACTGTTCACTGCTGAATCGGAACGAGTATCGTTCCACAACCTGATTGACGCTTGTTCCGATTCAGCAGTAAACAGAGGGATTTCCTGGGGAAAGCAATGGGACCAAGAAAAATCGCTTGGATCTGTGCCTATAAATCAGAGACCTGTTCCCAGCAATCGCAACAGGAGCAGGAGTGTGACTAAGGCCGTAGTGTGCAATATTTTGAATTCCCCAGAACTCTTTTAACTAGCTAGATCAGGGATGGCGATCCTCTGCTCTCCCCAAATGCTGTTGGACTCCAAATCCCCCCATGGGGAGGGTGGGGGGCGACTGGCAACCTTCAGTATCCCCCCTGCCACCTCCTAACTCCACTTCTCCCCTCTCCGTCCAGCTGCTTCCTTTTGTTTTGAAATGAATACGCTGCGTGCTTTTGTTTCCTTTGAAATGGGCCTCTGAGACGGGAATCAACGTTTACCAGCCCCAGACCTTGCAGGCAGGAACATGGCAGAGCTGGTCTGGCCGGGGGCCAGGGAAACACCCAGGGATCTGTCACAGCCAGCGGCAACTGGGGACACAGCGAAGTAACCTACAGCTGCCGGCACGGGGCTCTGCAGTATCGGGCGCGGGCTCAGGAGGAGAAACTGAGGCACGCTGTGGCAAGGAATGTGGCCAGAGTCATGCAGAGGCACAACCTAGCACAGCCTTCCTTCAGCTGGTGTCCTCCAGAAGTCTTGGACTACAAATCCCATCAGCCCCAGAAAGCAGGAGGAAGGTACAGAATGGGGCTGGTGAGGCGTGAGGCCTGGAGAGAGCAGCAGGGGCCACACAGAGAGACTTGGAAGGCCACATTCATCTCCCAGGCATGAGGTTCCCCACTCCTGCTTAAAAATGGATGGATTTCTTGAATTTTTTCTACGTATTTATGTTTTTCCTTCTTTATGCAAAGGGACGCGGGTGGCGCTGTGGGTCAAACCACAGAGCCTAGGACTTGCCAATCAGAAGGTCGGCGGTTCGAATCCCCACGACGGGGTGAGCTCCCGTTGCTTGGTCCCTGCTCCTGCCAACCTAGCAGTTCGAAAGCACGTCAAAGTGCAAGTAGATAAATAGGTACCACTCCAGCGGGAAGGTAAACGGCATTTCCGTGCGCTGCTCTGGTTCGCCAGAAGCGGCTTAGTTATGCTGGCCACAGGACCCGGAAGCTGTACGCTGGCTCCCTCGGCCAATAAAGCGAGATGAGCGCCGCAACCCCAGAATCAGTCACGACTGGACCTAATGGTCAGGGGTCCCTTTACCTTTTTACTTTATGTAAACAACTCTGTGAGGGCAGTGCGCCATGAAAGGCAGAGGATAGATCCTTGAATTGATTAATAGAATTGTAGAGCAGGAAGGGACCCCGAGGGTCATCCAGTCCAACCCCCTGCAATGCAGGAATCTCGGCTAAAGCATCCATGACAGACAGCCATACAACCTTTGCTTAAAAAATCTCCAAGGAAGGAGAGTCCACAACTTCCCGAGGGAGACCGTTCCACTTCTGAACAGCTCTTACTGTCAGAAACTTCTTCCTGATGTTTAGTTGGAATCGCCTTTCTTGTAACTTGGAAGCCATGGGTTCGAATCCTACCCTCCAGAGCAGGAGAAAACAAGCTTGTTCCCTCCTCCATGTGGCAGCGCTTGAGATATTTGAAGATGGCTATCACATCTCCTCTTTCCCAGGCTAAACATAGCCAACTCCCTCAACCGTTCCTCACAGGGCTTGGTTTCCAGACCCTTGATCATCTCGGCTGCCCTCCTCCACACACTTTCCACCTTGTCAGAACAAAATAAATGTGCACCCAAAGAGAGTGGGGGAAACCCACACAGTGGGGCAGGATTAGCCTGAGCAGCTGAGCATCCTTGCCCTCTGTTAAGTTGTGGGCGAACATATCAGACGACACAGCGATTCTTCCAAAGCAGCCCTTTATTTGTAAGCTGGAACTGAACTGAACTGAGGAGCTCAGTCAGCCTGCTTACATAGAGCTCCACTAGAATGCAACAGTAACCATTTTCTGTAACTAGCCAATCACTGAACGTCACTTTCAATCCTTCATTTGCATGCAAACTATCCAATCACTGAACGTCACTTTCGATCCTTCATTTGCATAACTATCTACAGTATCCCCCTGCTGGCCCAGGGTGAGAACTTCAGTACATAACACCCTCAATCCTGCCAACCGCAGGATGGTCTTACCTCGGCTCACGCGCTGCTTGGCACCAGAAAGGATCCCTGGTGTGTCGATAAGGCTGATGCTCTCCAGAACCTGGTTTGGCAAGTGGGCACACATGAACCTATGGGGGCAGAAAGAGAGAAGGCCAGAGGCCAAGGTGAGGGGATTGCGTAGACAAGAGCAGCGAGAAAGGAGGCTTAGAGAGATTTCCTGACTTACAGAGGTTCCCCACCAAAAAGAAATGTTAGTGATCTAAGTCATATCAATTCTCTAAATCAGTGGCTCCCAATTGGTGGTCTGCGGACCCCTGAGGGGTCCATGTAACCCACCCAGGGCCCCGGTGGCACATAATAGTAATAATAATAATAATAATAATAATAATAATAATTTATTATTTATACCCCGCCCATCTGGCTGGGTTTCCCCAGCCACTCTGGGTGGCTTCCAACACAATATTAAAATACAGTAATGGATCAAACATTAAAGCTTCCCTGAACAGGGCTGCCTTCAGATGTCTTCTAAAAGTCTGGTAGTTGTCTAAAAGTCTTTGACATCTGGTGGGAGGGCGTTCCACAGGGAGGGTGCCACCACCGAGAAGGCCCTCTGCCTGGTTCCCTGTAACTTGGCTTCTTGCAGGGAGGGAATCGCCAGAAGGCCCTCGGCACTGGACCTCAGTGTCCGGGCAGAACAATGGAGGGGAAACGCTCCTTCAGATATACTGGACTGAGGCCATTTAGCCGTCAACTGTCCAGAACATCCCATTGGTCACATGACTGGCACACGAATGCAGACCAGAAGACATGTGCCCCAGTTTTGCACTGGGACACACTGGAGGGTATGTTGGCACCGGTTCACATAACAAAAGCTACCACAGAGATAATAAACATTTTCAAAAGTAGTAATTATTATTATTATTATTATTATTATTATTATTATTAATTACTTATATCCCACCCATCTGGCCGGCTTTCAAAAGGGTATTAAAAACATGATAAAACATCAAAAATTAAAAACCTCCCTAAACAGGGCTGCCTTCATATGTCTTCTAAAGTCAGGTAGTTGTTTATTTCCTTGACATCTGGTGGGAGGGTGTTCCACAGGTTGGGCGCCACTACCGAGAAGGCCTTCTGCCTGGTTCCCTGTAACCTCACATCTCGCAGTGAGGGAACTGCCAGAAGACCCTCAGAACTGGACCTCAGTGTCTGGACTGGATAATGGGGGTGGAGATGCTCTTTCAGGTATACTGGGCCAAGGCTGTTTAGGGCTTTAAAAGTCAGCACCAACACTTTGAATTGTTCTCGGAAACGTACTGGGTGCCAATGTAGGTCTTTCAGGACCGGTGTTATATGGTCTCGGCAGGGTCCATGGCTTGGCTTTTGAAAAACAGGGGATCCGCAGTGCAAACTGGGAACCGCTGATCTAAATGAACAAAAAGATAACTAAATGCTTGCTCAGTTGGCACATGTGACCCTCATAAATGCCTGTGAGTCTCATGTGCCTGCTGAGCGTTTAGGCACATTTAGCTATATTTTTTGGTTTAAGTGATTTCTGCTTTTAGAGGGAGCAAAAACTCTAAGCCAGGAAAACACAAGGGAAAGCTCAGTGTGAAATCCCAGAGAGCCATGCCAATTGGGGCTTATCCACCCTTATCTTTTGCCCTGCACTTTCTAGCCACAAGTCTGTGCTTTGAACTTCCATGTCCAAGGGCTCCCCCCCCCCTTGCCCCAGTGCTTTCCACACAAAACCCACTCTTTTAACAATGAATCGAACAGCAATTTGAGTTTTGCAGTTTACTCCGATTGCAGTTTACTCCGATTCAGCGGTAAGGAGCAGGTTTTCACGGGGAAAGTTTAGCGGCAAAAACAAAAACCCAAATGCTTTAAACAGACCCTCTTAAGTGCCCCTATTTTCCAGGGACAGCCCCAGATTTATAGAAGCAATCCTGGTTTCTGATTTAATAATAATAATTTATTATTTATACCCCACCCATCTGGCTGGGTTTCCCCAACCACTCTGGGCGGCTTCCAACAGAACACTAAAATACAATAACCTATTAAACAATAAAAGCTTCCCTAAACAGGGCTGCCTTCAGATGTCTTCTAAAAGTCTGGTGGTTGTTTTTCTCTTTGACATCTGGTGGGAGGGCATTCCACAGGGCGGGCGCCACTACCGAGAAGGCCCTCTGCCTGGTTCCCTGTAACTTGGCTTCTCGCAGTGAGGGAACCACCAGAAGGCCCTCTGCGCTGGACCTCAGTGTCCAGGCAGAACGATGGAGGTGGAGACGCTCCTTCAGGTATACTGGACCAAGGCCGTTTAGTTTAGTTTAATCCCAGAATGTCCCACTTTTCCTTAGGACATCCCTATTTTCACCAGAGAAACGTTGGAGCGTATGGAGTTATGTGACCCCTGAGCCAAGGAGATAAGTCGCTATACTTAGAAGACACCTGAAGCAGCCCTGTATAGGGAAGTTGGTTAATGTTTTATTATGTTTTTTTTATATGTTGGAAGCTGCCCAGAATGGCTGGGGCAACCCAGCCAGGTGGTCAGGGTATAAATAATGAAATTATTATTATTATGGAATAGGACATCCCTATTTTCATCAGAGAAATGTCTGGACTAGACATTTGGTGTAGACCAGGGTTTCCCGAACCTGGGCCTCCAGCTGTTTTTGGACTACAACTCCCATCACCCTTGGCCACTGGTCCTGCTAACTAGGGATGATGGGAGTTGTAGTCCAAAAACAGCTAGAGGCCCATGTTTGGGAAACCCTGGCGTAGGCAATACAGAGCTAAATGAACCAGTGGCTTGACTTGGAAAAGCCAGCATCCTCTGTTCATTCTGCTTTTCCAGTAAGCCTGCCTTGGAGATTAACAACAAGATCGAAGAAGTCGAGTTATGGATGTTAAATACCGTATTTTTTGCTCTATAAGACTCACTTTTTCCCTCCTAAAAAGTAAGGGGAAATGTGTGTGCTTCTCATGGAGTGAATGCAGGCTATCCCAGAAGCCAGAAGAGCAAGAGGGATTGCTGCTTTCACTGCGCAGTGATCCCTCTTGCTGTTCTGGCTTCTGAGATTCAGAATATTTTTTTTCTTGTTTTCCTCCTCCAAAAACTAGGTGCGTCTTGTGGTCTGGTGCGTCTTATAGAGCGAAAAATACGGTATATACCAATTTGAATGAACAAGCGAGTGTGCCCTTCCCTCTCGGCTTTTCCCGGCCTGTTTGTTCTTTTTCCTTCTGCTCTGGGCTCCTAAAAGCGTTGCCACCCCTCCCCTCGCTCCTCATACGCCAAGAAGCAATAAGAGCAGCGCTCTGAGCAGCCAAGAACCAAGGGAGCAGCCCTTGTTTTCTCGTGTTCAGCGCTTGTCACTTTTAAAAACTCCCCCTGTTTCCAGTTGTGCTCATGACCCAGCAGCTGATGGAGATCACAAGGATCTCAGTTGTGCTGTGAACACTTCCCTGGAGCGTCGGGGCTGCCCTGGCCAAAAGCCTGCCAAACCTCTGCTACTAACTCTCTCTGTGCCTCCTCCTCCTCTTTCCATATCTGTGTACACCAGGAATTTTGGCACCCCGGGAGGTTGCCTGCTTTGCTCCTGTGGTTTTGGCTCGCTCCGCTGGTTCCATCCATTCAAACTTGCCCTCCCTGGTTAGCCCACGCTAGCATAAGCAACAAAGGGGGGCGGGAAAAAGCTGTTGGTGGATATCAGGAAGCTTTGATTCAAGCACCACGACCAGATGTGTTAGAGCAGTGGGAGGAAGGTAGCTCAGTGGCAGAGCACCTCTGCCTTGCTCCCAGAAAGTCGCAGGTTCAATCCCTGTCATGGGTGTCGCGGCGGGTGTGTGTGTGTGTGTGTGTGTGTGTGTGGCAGCGCCCTCCTCAAATCAAGTAAATAAACAAAAGTACTTAACTAAAAGTAGAAATTGTAGAAGGATTTTGACAGGGTTTTTTCTGAGCACTTCGGGTCAAAAGAAAGTGATTTGAAACAACTCTTGTTATTTAAGGACTATATAAGACTATATTGTAAAAATGATACCACCCTAGCAGAATTGAATGATACTTGTGTACAATAGATAAATGGAATAAACAGCTTAGAGGAATATATGGAAAAAGATACAAAACAAACAGTGCGATAAAATCAAGACGATAGAAAAAGTATAATGAGAACGATTGGAAGTTTTTCACAGAAAACTTTATAGGCTAAGATGTTGTATAAATATGTGGTTCTTTTAACTGTCTTTTTTTTGTTACTTTGAAACCTTTTTTCGACCTTTTTAAGGTGACAAATCCCTTTTCTTCTTCTTCTTCTTTTGTGCTTAATTTTGTTATACTTACCTTTACTGTATGATTGTATTTTAAATTAATAAAGATCTCTATTTAAAAAAAGTGAAACGACTGTTGTTGAGATATTTTATTCTGAATCTGCTAGACAGAGACAAAGAAGAGGATCGTGAGTGGTGGGTGTCCTGCCTGCCCCCAACACCAGCAGGGGGTTGGACTGGATGACCCTCAGGACTCCAACTCTACAATTTTATGATGCTATGAAACTGTAGGGATTGTAGACGACTCAGCCTGGCCTGACTCAGTCTTCTTCTTTGGCGATCACTCGTAGCCGAGTAAGATTGTCTTCCATAAACACGGTTTTAACAGTGAGTCTGTAAGTGACTGTGGAGGCCAATTCTGGATCCACACGTCCTTCCACAGTGGGGACATTGGTTCCCGGATGGGAGTTGATCACGGTGTGGATTTGCCAAGCGTCCCTTCCTCTCAGCACGTTTCTCCCTTTCGCCCTGACTTCGAGTGTCTTCAAAGCCCATGACACATTTGATAAAGGCTGTTCTCCAACTGGAGTGCCCGCAGGCCATTTTATTCCCAGTTGTCGGTGTTTATACTACATTTTTTTAGATTTGCCTTGAGACAGTCTTTAAACCTCTTTTGTTGACCACCAGCATTACGCTTTCCATTTTTAAGTCCGGAATAGAGTAGTTGCTTTGGAAGATGATCATCAGGCATCAGCACAACATGACCAGTCCAACAAAGTTGATGTTGAAGAATCATTGCTTCAACACTGGTGATCTTTGCTTCTACACTGATATTAGTTCGCCTGTCTTCCCAAGTGATGTGTAAAAATTTTCAGAGACACCGTTGATGGAATCTTTCGGGGAAAGATTAACAAACCTCACAGTATTACAAACCTCGCAGATCAACCAACTAAAATTTTGGTTGATTAATCTAACCTTCTCACCTGAAGCCCAAACTCAGAGGGTTTTCCTGCAATGTGACTCGGCTGCGTCACGGATCGATATGAATTAACTTCTATACTGAATTTGTCGGGCGTTTTCATGGTGTTTTTCTACATTCTACGCCACTTTTTTATAAGCAACTTGTAAATTCATGCAATAAATAACCTGAATGAAATGTTGAAACAAGAAAAATTTGCAGCCCTGTTTGAAAGGGTGGAATAGATTCACCCATTTGTGCCCCAAAGAAAGGTGTTTCTAGAAATAACCAAGCCTGATGCCAGTGGAACTTGCTCCCAAGCAGGGGAAGGGGGGGACAGGACGTGGGTTAGTTCTCGTTTTGCACCTTCCCAAATCAGTAGGTGACCCAAAACACTAAAAATGTGTGCAAATTTTGAAGAGTAATTGTGTTTCGGTTTGTCTATTGGTTTGGGAAGTGAGGCTTAGCTGAGTTCCCACTAAAATGAGATATGGAAGAGGAATTTTTCCTCCCCCATCCTTACCTCTGAGAGAACAGGGATGGGCCAAGGAAGAACTGAGACAATCTGACTGCCTTCAGCGCCTGGGGAGGAGTTCATGTTTACAAACCCCTGGATGGAGGAAGGTGCACAGCTCAACCAGTATAAACAAGGATGCTAAAAGTAGAACCTGCCGGAAAATACCCAGGGATATCCAATTCCACATTTTCCCACTGTCCTGGGCCAAAGTACAGCCAACAGTAATTTTAAAGAAGTCTGTGCTGTTTGTTAAGAATGCCCCCCCCACACACGTACACACAAAAAATGAGTAAACAGTCTGAATCTTTTAAACCTACGTAACAGGCAGAAAATCAACAGGTGGAGCTGCAGCAGTGGAAAACCAGTGGATTTCTGCCTGTACTACCCAGTGCCTTTGTTGGTAACAATGCACTCAACTCTAGCATTCCTCAGCATACCCTCCAAAATCCTGCTCAAGCATCCCCAACCTTGGGCCCTCCAGATGTTTTGGACTACAATTCCCATCAACCCTGACCACTGGTCTGTTAGCTAGGGATCATGGGAGTTGTAGGCCAAAACATCTGGAGGGCCGCAGGTTGGGGATGCCTAATCCTGCTGATTAAAATTGGGGTGTTCGTTTTTGGTCCCAAGCTCTTGCGGGAGCCAGGTGACATGCGCCAGAACACAAGAACAAAAAAATGGGACATTCTGGGATCCAGTTAGAAGCTGTGATGGCTTTTGTAATTCTGGGGTGTCTCACTCAAAACAGGACAGTTGACGAGTATGCCCCGGTCATAGAATTGGAAGGGACCCTGAGGATCATCCAGTCCAGCCCCGCCTTGTAGCCGAAAAAGACAAAAGGTTGCGTCATCCTAGTGCAAGCTGTGTATAGCTAAAAGTCAAGGCATTCTTTGGTCTTTCTCTTCAACGTGCATACCCTAATAAGGCCCAGTGTTTCTCGATTTCGCCCTGGCACTCATCTGCTGGGAACAGCTCCCATCTGTCCCAAAAGCTAGCACATCTGGAGGGCTGATTTATTTCCAGGCTGTTGGGACATGGGGTGTTGTGGGGACAACCTGGCACAGAGAATCGCGCTTTGTTCCAGAGAGTTCGGCTTGCATCTCCACTCCTCACCCCTGAAAGACCTCCAGCCTCCCTTTCTTTTTCTCCCTCTCTCTCCTTCTCTTCGCCCCTGCAAAGAGTGGGCTGGGAGGAAACAGGTGCCTTTTGCATTCCCTACACCCCGATTCTGTGAAACAGCTGGGCAGCATCTGGAATGCTACCCAAAAGCGCGGAGAGGAACATCACAAGTCCCAGGCCGAGCTCGAGAAGGGGAAGTAGAGGCTAGTGGAGGACCCATAAAATGGGGGACACATTGGGTTCAGTTCACATTCAAAGGCATCTTAAAAAAGGAGACATCAACTTGCCAACAAAGGCCCGTACAGTTCAATCTATGGTTTTCCCAGTAGTGATGTTTGGAAGTGAGAGCTGGACCATAAAGAAGGCTGATCGCCGAAGAATGGATGCTTTTGAGTTATGGTGCTGGAGGAGACTCTTGAGGGTCCCATGGACTGCAAGAAGATCAAACCTATCAATTCTTAAGGAAATCAGCCCTGAGTGCTCACTGGAAGGACAGATCCTGAAGCTGAGACTCTAATACTTTGGCTACCTCATGAGAAGAGAAGACTCCCTGGAAGAGACCCTGATGTTGGGAAAGATGGAGGGCACAAGGAGAAGGGGACGACAGAGGATGAGATGGTTGGACAGTGTTCTCAAAGCTACCAGCATGAGTTTGACCAAACTGCGGGAGGCAGTGGAAGACAGGAGTGCCTGTGTGCTCTGGTCCATGGGGTCACGAAGAGTTGGACACAACTAAACGACTAAACAACAACAACCACCTAATTTTTGCTTTCAATATGCAAACCAAAACAGCCATCTTTTGAAATCGCGGCACTCAAGTTTTGCAAACCAGTTGCAAACGTGTACACTCACGGTTATGCTTGGGTAAAGAGAATATCTTAGGGAAAATAACGTGCCTTGTGTTAGGCAAAACTGCTTTGCAAAAAATGTGAATAACAGGCAAAATTGCACATGTGTGAATTTGGAGATAGTTGCACAAATGCTGAATTGTTAGGAGCAGTATTTAGAATAAAACACAACCTGTTGTTGAAAAGTGGGGAGCTGAGCTAAATATTGGAAAACTAGAAACCGAGAAACACCAAAATGCCAAGTGCTTAGAGTGGGGTTCTGAAGCTGAAAGTCCTGGATATAATTAAAGCTGGTATCTTATTTTGGAGGGAATTTGCTTAAGGGCCTCTGTTCAATGGACAGGGGGCGAATTCAATACAAACCTGGCATCTAGGAATGGATCTGGATCAAAAAAGCATGAGGGATATCTCCTCTCCCTCCCCCAATTTAGAAGCATAGGAAGCTGCCAAGTATTGTCCTATTTTACTCCCATACCGAACGCAGCATGAACTGAAATCACCCATCAGGTCTCCTGTACAGAAATGCTGGGCTGATGGAACTGGAAGGCCAATGACATCTGAAGAGCCACAGACGCACACACACCCCACCCAGTAACAAGGAGGACACATAGCAGTGAATGTAGTTTGGGCTCCACCTAGTCCAGTGATGGGGAACTTATGGCCCTCCAGAGATTGCCTTGACTAGAACTCCCATCATCCTGGACCACTGGCCATTCTGGCTAGGAATGATGGGAGTTGGAGCCCAGCAATGCCTGGAGGGCTGCAGGCTCCCTGTGTTTGCATTAAACCCTGGCAAACCCTGACATCCCTATTTTCATCAGAGAAATGTCTGGACTAGACATTTGGTGTAGACCAGTTTCCCCAAACTTGGCTCTCCAGCTGTTTCTGGACTACAATTCCCATCATCCCTCACCACTGGTCCTGCTCGCTAGGGATGATGGGTGTTGTAGTCCAAAAACACATGGAGACCCAAATCTGGGAAACACTGCTCTAGGCCACTGGTTGCCCATGGGGGAATTGCAAGTGGGCCATGTGCTGATCTGAGGTTGAGTTGCACACTATGTGGTACACTCAACATTTTCTTTTTGTCATCCTGCATTTTTTAAAGAGAAGGAGAAAGACAGGTATAAGCTGATGCAAAGGAAGGCAGCCCCTTCTAGGGCTGGGGAGAAATCAAACTTTTGTTTGCATTTCAACAAGAGAAGCATTTTTTGAACCGATAAGCTAGCTGAAGCGCAGTTATCCCTTGAAATCTGTGATTTGCTTCTCTAGCCAAACAGTGCACATGAAAGGGTACATAAAAATGCACACGAACGAACTTTACAAAAATGCATCATTTTAAGGGGGAAGTTGCGTACGTTAGGAGAAATTTGCACTAAAACGCTGACAAACCTTCTAGGTGATACTTTTAGAATTAAAACCAGCAAATTCCTGGGGGAATGTGGAGAACTGAATTTAAGACAGTCAAATTCAGCTTTTCTGTTTCTTATTTCCACCCCCACTTGAACCATGTATGCCATCTTGAGCTCGCTGGAGAAAAAGTGGGGCGTATAAATGTAAATAAGAGAGAGGTGTTGCATCAGATCAACACCGAGAGGGAAAATGGTCATATATGGTAAATAATAATAATGTAATCCAGTGTCATGTTGCATGTTCAAGTTAATAAAGTTGGGTCCTGAGACTGAAAGGGGTGAAGAGGAAGGAGGAGGAGTTTGGATTTGATATCCTGCTTTATCACTACCCGAAGGAGTCTCAAAGCGGCTAACATTCTCCTTTCTCTTCCTCCCCCACAACAAACACTCTGTGAGATGAGTGAGGCTGAGAGGCTTCAAAGAAGTGTGACTAGCCCAAAGTCACCCAGCAGCTGAATGTGGAGGAGCAGGGAAGCAAACCCGGTTCCCCAGATTACAAGACTACCACTCTTAACCACTACACCACACAGCCATACAACACAAACACACCTCTCTGAGCTTAGCCTTGACAAAGAATGCACTCAAAGGCCAGAAAATATGGGGAGGTGGCAGTTTGGGGGCACTTACCGGTTGAGAAAGGTGTTCCCAAAAGGGTTAAGTTTCCGGAAGGGCTTTTTGGGGTCCACGATGAGAGCATTGCCCGGAATGATGCCCTCCGTTTCACCGTGCATGACGGCAATGAAAGAGTCGGTGGTGGGCTCGGGCCCAATGCGGCTCCCGGGGATGTCCTGCTCCAGCAGGTATTTGATGAAGGTGGTCTTGCCGGTAGAGTACTGTCCCACCACCAGGACCATGGGCTTATTGTCAAAGTCGGCATCTTCCAGGGACGGGGAATGGAAGTCGTGGAAGCGGTAGTACTCTTCCACCGGCAGCAGCTTCCTCTTGTAGAGGTCCTTCAGGCCCTCGGTGACCGTACGGATCACTTCGGGGTTCTTCTTCTCGTTCTTCTTCATCCAGCTGAACATCTTGGCAGCCCAGTGAGAATGGCGCAGAGCCCGGTCCCTTGGAAGTGGACTGTAAATCGAAGAAGCTGGAGGTGCGGAGGAAGAGGAGGGGACTTTGGTTGGAGGTCGAAGTCTTGACAGACAGCCTGCAGACCTTTCAAGAATGAGATCAGGACTGACAGAAGTAGGCAAGGGCCCCAAACCTGACCAAAAGGCTGTTGGAATCCAGCACCCAAAGAGAATCCAGTGAGCTAATGGGTCTCTAATCTTCCAGGGAGCTGAGATGAAACCGAGATTCTAGGGGTGGCGTCTGTAGTTCTACTATATCAGACTTTGGTGGGCTGGTCCAGAACTTTGAGGAGATCCCAAGCAAAAGGACCTCAGTCAAGAGATCTTCTGGGGGATATTCTTCCAGCTGTAAACTTGCTGATCACCCGAGCTTTAGGTGTAAAAGCACCGCATGCACTTTGCCGCTGGATATAAGGACTCCGGATCAGAAATATATACTCCTATGTGTGAATCGCTGTGTTTCTTCTTCTGCCTTTCGAAGAGAAGACGTCACTTTCTTCTCCTAAATGCGGTGGAGAGAGGCTGTAAGCCAGCACACAGTGAGCAGGCAAGGGAGGAGTAAGGGAGACACGAATGCCAGTTTCAGATGGAAAATCCCTTTTGGTTGTTTGGGAGGGTTTGTTTTTTTTCAAATAAATGTTGGTTTTCCTTCCCCACTTCTGGGGTCCTGAGAAGCTTCTGAAGGGGACTCCCGCTTGGAGGAAGGCGCTGGCTGTCGGGACGAGCAGCTGCCAAGAAACAGGGTGCAGAATACATTAGCATAAATTATTCCGGAAGGGAGGGTGACGCCTGGGATGTCCAAGAACTTGAGAACAAGTAATGCGCAAAAAGAAAAAAAGAGATACACACATTCCCAGCTCCTCTCCAAAGTTGCAAGAATGCAGGCTTGGCAAATGACGGCCTCTGATGCCACCGTGTGGTATAGGAAGGAAGGAAGGGCGAGCCCAAAAGAAAGGTGGAGGAACAAGATGGGATACAGTGGTACCTCGGGTTAAGTATTTAATTCGTTCCAGAGGTCCGTACTTAATCTGAAACTGCTCTTAATCTGAAGCACCACTTTAGCTAATGGGGCCTCCTGCTGCTGCCACGCCACCAAAGCATGATTTCTGTTCTCATCCTGAACCAAAGTTCTTAACCCGAGGTACTATTTCTGGGTTAGCGGAGTCTGTAACCTGAAGCGTATGTAACCTGAAGCGTCTGTAACCTGAGGTACCACTGTATACCAGGGGTCAGCAAACTTTTGCAGCAGGAAGCCGGTCCACAGTGCCTCAGACCTTGTGGGGGGCGGCGGACTATATTTTGAAAAAAAATATGAACAAATTCCTATGCCCCACAAATAACCCAGAGATGCATTTTAAATAAAAGGACACATTCTGCTCATGTAAAAACATACCGATTCCCGGACCGTCTGCGGGCCGGACTTAGAAGGCGATTGGGCCAGATCCGGCCCCCGGGCCTTAGTTTGCCTACCTATGGGATATATCACAGGCTAGCAGAGTTTGAAGGGACCATGAGGGTCATCTAGTCCAACCCCCTGCAATGCAGGAATCACCCAACATGGGATTCAAACCCACGACCCTGAGATTAAGAGCCTCATGCTCTACAGACTGAGCTGTCTCTCAGGTCCATTGAGGGATGTCCCAGGATAGGATCCTGACACACTGTGAGCTCCTGTGGGGAGACCACATGCTTACAGAGCATTCATCTTGATTTGCTTGCACAAGGCTGATGTGGAGGTTAGACAATGCCCACTCTTTCTCATTGCAACTGCCTTATTAAAGCAGCTGGCTTGTTTTCCTGGCAGATCCCTTTGTAAGTTACTCAGCGTGTACAGCAGCCCACACTCTATGCTTCTGTCTCTCAGACCTCAGAAGAGCATAATGGTCTTAGAATAGCTCTGATCCTCACTTCCAGCGGCATGAATTTCAAGCATCTTCTAGGCAGTGAGGATTCTAAAAACCTGATGTTTGCCATCACACACATCACCCTTCAATAAACAACTGATTAGTTCAAAATTGGGAAAGGAGTACGACAAGGCTGTATATTGTCTCCCTGCTTATTTAACTTATATGCAGAATTCATCATGCGAAAGGCGGGAGCTGGATGAATCCCCACCTGGCAAACAGAAGGTGAAGAAGTGGAGGCAGTGAGAGATTTTACTTTCTGGGGCTCCATGATCACTGCAGATGGTGACAGCAGTTACGAAATTAAAAGACGCCTGCATCTTGGGAGAAAAGCAATCACAAACCTAGACAGCATCTTAAAAAGCAGAGACATCACCTTGCCAACAAAGGTCCGTATAGTTAAAGCTATGCTTTTCCCAGTAGTGATGTATGGAAGTGTGAGCTGGACCATAAAGAAGGCTGATTGCCGAAGAATGGATGCTTTTGAATTCTGGTGCTAGAGGAGACTCTTGAGAGTCCCATGGACTGCAAGAAGATCAAACCTATCCATTTTTAGGGAAATCAGCCCTGAGTGCTCACTGGAAGGTCAGATTGTAAAGCTGAGGCTCCAAGACTTTGGCCACCTCATGAGAAGAGAAGATTCCCTGGAAAAGATCCTGATGTTGGGAAAGATGGAGGGCACAAGGAGAAGGGGACGACAGAGGACGAGATGGTTGGACAGTGTTCTCAAAGCTACCAGCATGAGTTTGACCAAACCACAGGAGGCATTGGAAAACAGGAGTGCCTGGTGTGCTCTGGTCCATGGGGTCATGAAGAGTCGGACACGACTAAACAACAACAACAACACCCTTCAATGGTCAAACTGGGAAACTTTACTAACAATAAAAGGTAGTTGAAAACTGGCAGAAGGTCAGAACAAAATTCAAAATAAACATAAGCACTGTATCTCTAAAACTGGATGAATCCTATCCTATTCACTGGTTTACTCACAGGAAAGCAGTGAGATAGTTCATCATCATAGAAGGTCCAGTATGGACGCTTGATGCCCACACTCACAGCTGGGCCATGTTCCTCCAGCCTCATGAGGAGACCTTTGTGGTGCTGGTGAGTGAGAGCCTTGCCCCCTAGGCCAGGTGGAAAAGGGCCTTGCAGGGAGCGGCCTTCACGCCCCACAGCCGGGCAATGTTCCTCTGGCCTCATGAGGAGCCTCTTCAGTGGGGCTGATGAGTGTGGGCCTCGCCCCCTAGGATAGGGCCTTGCAGGGAGAAACCTCAACACCCCATAGCCAGGCAATGTTCCTCTGGCCTCATGAGGAGCTTCTTCAGTGGGGCTGGTGAGTGGCCTTCATCACACTCACAGCTAAATTTAGCTGTACAAGCAAGCAGAGGTGAACACCAATTTCAAAATCCAGTAGAAGAAATATGGTGTGGCTGTTAGGATAAACTTTCTACAACTGGTAGTTCATTGATCTGTTTATGACATTCCTATCCCACTTTTTCTCCAGGAAGCTCAAGGTCCTTCTCCCCACTTTATCCTCACAACAACCCTGTGAGGCAGGTTAGGCTGAGAGTGAGTCCGACCCAGTGAGCCTCGTGGGGATTTGAACCCTGGTCTCCCGGGTCCGAGTCTAGCAGTCTAACCACTCTGCCACACTGAATCTCCTAGAACCTGGGCATGGTGGTCGTGCGTTCTAGGCTAGCAAAGGTGGTCGCACAGCCATGGAATGTGCAACTGTTTGAACTGAGGTTCTCTGATCCTCAGCGCATACAGAGCTTTGGTGTATTTACCCTTTTCTAATTTAGTGGAGAATATGGCTTCTGATGAATTCCTGGCAGTAAGTGAACATTTCCAGTAGACTTAGCTCCCGGGGTCTATTCTAGGTGTGCTGGAGTGGCACAGGCATTGGAAGACAGAGGTGTGTAGCCTTTACCATGGCACAGAGCAGAGGGATCTCACACCCAGAGGCTGAATGCAGCCCTCCAGAGATATCTAGCTGGTCCTTGGTGTTAAGTTGTGGGTGAACATATCAGACAATACAGCGATTCTTCAAACAGCTCTTGTTTATTCACAGGCCAGAAGAGAACTGAACTGAAGGGTTCAGCCAGCCTGCTCCACTACAACGCAACTGTAACAACTTTCTGTAACTATCCAATCACTGAATGTCACTTTCAATCCCTTATTTGCAAATGTGGACCTGAGTGAAAACTATCTACAGTATCCCCCTGCTGGCCCAGGGTGAGAACTTCAGTACATATCACTTGGGATGGTCCTAAGGCCACCCCATTCCACCAGGGAACCCCTTCACTGGCCCGGCCCTGCAGAGATTTTGCCTGGGTGTGCCCTTGAGCGGTGATGCTTCCTGCATAGAGGATGGAGAGGGGTGTGAGGTGAGGCCTTAGAAAAGAATGAGAGAAGAAGGTGCGTTTGAGGATGTGCTCAGCCCAGGAATCCATTTGCACGACAAGAGCCGAAATTTGTGTAAAATTGTTTTACGCACCAAGCTGTTCCATTTTATTAAATTTTCAAAAGTTTAGAATATATAGTTCAATACATAAATTTGTCTTTTCCTGACTTCCCATCCCATTTTCTATGGTGTTTGAATTTCTTCCCCTTTGCTGCACAATACCTTCTATTTCTTACACCAGCACTTCAATATTGTATTCTCTAATTCTTTCTGAAGGTCTGATGTTTGGCACCAGCTTGGCTGCAGGAGTTGCCGTAAGGAGGTTTACAAGGCACCATCCTACCGTCTCAGGGACTCCAGGCCAGATTTGTGAAGAGTTTACTCCATTTCTTCTCCTTGATGGTTGCACCCACTGTTGCTCACATCCACTCAATCTGCCAGAACCTGTCTGGAGAAAAACAACATTCAAATTTCTGTTTTAAGACCGCCTTTTCTGTGAAGTAGGTGTGAAATATACTCAGAGTCGCAAAGTGATTTCATGCTCTTTATTCAGCTCATAGTGGTGAGGAGGAATGAATGAAAGTCCCCTCAAAGTATCTGCCTTATATACATTATTTACACAATGGGCTGCACATGATTGGCTAATTCCGGAATTCTACTGTAAGCCAATCAGGTTGTGGATTCACTTCTATCTGGAGCATGATTGGGTGGTTCCTGCCAACCAATCATACTGCTGCATTCTGAATCCTATTGTTCTAGGACCAATCAGACTGCTGCATTTGGATCCTATTCAACTCAGTACATAACAAGGTGTGATGTATCTGAGCTCTAACCCGTGTCCGGTCAGCTTCAGAACGAGTTATCCACCACCGGCGCTCTAGCCGTCTCAGCGGTTGTTTCATTGTCCTCAGATCTGTGGAAAACCATGGGACTGTCCAGGCTCCATGCAATTGGAGGGGCTACTTCAGAGCTAAGCAGTCAATAGCCCTGGTTAACTCCACATTCCAGCAGGCCACCAGGGAATCAGCTGAAAGGCCATCAACATGGGATAAAGCATCCCCTACCACTCTCTGGAAACCATTTGGATCCATTAAGTGGCGGGGGCGGACCATCCAAATCGGTCCCACCTCCCTGCAGAGGGGAAGGGTCGTGGAAAAGTCCAGTTGCACCAGGAAGTGATCTGACCATGGCACTTCTTTCGTTTCGCTTTTACTTAGTGTCAGATCACCAACATCCATAGAGGTGAACACCAGGTCCAAGGCATGTCCGTGGCTATGGGTTGGGCCAGACATATTCAGGGACAGCCCCATGGAGGCCATGCTTTCCACGAAGTCCCGAGTGGCCCCTTGTAAAGTCATGCCGGCATGGATGTTAAAATCCCCCAGGACAACCAAACTAGGTGTCTCCAGGAGAACATCTGCCACGACCTGAAGCAGCTCGGGCAGGGAATCCTTGGTGCAGCAGGGAGGTCGGTACACCAAAAGGAATCCTGTACTGCCCCTATTGCCCAACTTCCAGAACATGCACTCGGAGAACTGGGTCTTCCCAATAGGACGCCTGGTGCAAACCAATGACTTCCTAAAAATCATTGCAAACCCCCCCCCTCCCCGCCCACAAGGCCTGGGTTGCTGTGCATAAGAGATACCTGGTGGACAAGCAGCGGCAAGGACAGGCCCATCTGCTTCATCCAATCAAATATCTGTCACACATGCCAGGTCAAGTCCTCCATCCATGATCAAGTCATGGATGGCAGTGGTCTTATGAATCATTGACCTGGCATTGCACAGCAGCACCTTCAGGTCGTGCGGGTATCCCTTGCTGATTCTAGTATCCATCAGGTCAGGACTAGACCCAGAGGCAGGGATAGTCCTCAAACGACTAAACCTGCCTCCTCGGTAATGACATGGTCTGGTCTTAGCGTAACTCCTCCTCCTACCCGTGATCACTGAGATTGGTTGTCCCAGTGCATCCCCCCCCGCCCCGGAACCTGCCCCAGCCATTTTGTTGGCAGCCCTGACCCCTCCCCTTAAGAACAAAATAAAACCTTTTTTAAAAAAACCACAATAAAACAATACAAACAAAAAACTGTAAAAATGAAAAACACATCCAAATCCAACAAATTCCCGAACCTAACCAAACATTCATCTCACCCCCACCCCACACAAAAAAATTCAAAAGGCAAAAAAGAAAATTTAAAAACATTTTAAAAAGAACTCTGCGCTGCTCCAAGTCCTCCTGGACAGCAGCAGCAGCAGCAGCAGCAGCAGCAGCAGCAACTGTCCTTATGAGGCCTGTCAGGCCCCACCTTGGGCCAGGT